ACAAAAAAGCAATTTCAGTATCACACATATGATCAGAAAAACCAGAAACTAAAAGATATTTAATGAAAACAAAAACGTGTGGATGCAAACAGCAACCTGAAAGGGCTGACAATGATTTTTGCTAGGAGCACTTACCAAGTGTATCTTTGCTACCAAGAGAGTGAGAATAAAATTTACTTTGTTCACTTTTCAAGCTGATCTGATAAGCAACAAATTCAAGTTACATAAAATGTTTGTCTTAAAATTTAAAAATACAATCAATTTTGATTAAGGGGGAAAAACTGGGCTCAATTCTTGTACAGAAATAGCCAAGTCACTTCCCTTGTCATTTGCAAATCATCGCAAAGTACACTACCATAGCTACTTACCTCTGTGCAGTCATTCAAAAGGGGCACTGTGGTGTCACTAGGGTTAATATTGATTGTCTTTAGTTCAATTAGATTATTTAGGGAATTTCCACCTAGGAAAAAAAAAGGATAAAGGAATCAAACAAAGGAGTTTCTATTACATGATAGAAGATACTTCTTTTTGAGTAAACTAATTCAATTACCTGACACTACAACCAGGGAAGGCATGTAGCTGCTGTCAGCAGGATCTACTATCATTTTTAATCTATGAACGAGAACATCTGGGAAAATCTCCAAACGAATCCAATGCTTAAAAAAAAAAAAAAAACACATTTTCAGTTAGCAAAATTCAGCTATATTTTAGCTACCACAATAGTATCACTGAAGCTTGAATTTACATGAGTTTTTTAAATATAAAATGTGGCATGAAAGAGAGAGAATTTTCCCTAAGCCTGGCAGAAACAAGAATATTCTACCCCACTATATTTGCTCATTAGAGGACAGTCTCACTATAAGCCCCAGAAACAATGTATTTATAGACTCCTAACCTAGGGTGGTCCCTTTATACCCATCAAGGAGTAGGTGGTGGAAAACACTAGAATTGAGATGGAGAAAAGCCCCCTGTCTCCGAGTCTGAACTGTGTGCCCACATGAGGAACACTCATGCATCAGTGTGATCACAACAGCACTCCAAAGCTCAACATGTATTTGTTGGGCTACATTAGGAAATCTTCTAACCAGAAGCAAAATCTGAATTCATACATTTTATGCAGGAGAGAAAAAAAAAAAAACATAAAAACCACTATATCCTCTATTAATTGGTCAGTTAGATAAAATCTATTACTCATATTGTTTAAAATCTCTGACAATAAAAACCAGGGCAGGAGAGGTGGCTCACACCTGTAATCCTAGCACTCTGGGAGGCTGAGGCAGGAGGATCGCTTGAGCCCAGGAGCTGGAGGCTGCAGTGAGCTATGATGAGGCCACTGCGCTCCAGCCTGGGTGACAGAGCAAGACCCTATCTCAAGAAAAAAACAAAAACAAACAAACAAAAAAACTGGATGGCATATAACTCTGTAACTTTGCAATAACTTACGAACTAAAATATAAAATGAGTACTAACAGGTGTCATCAGTAAAACTCTGTAGGTGTTTCAAAGTTCATTTTGAAAATCTAAAATGCAAAACTATGTGAATAAAAGTGCTTCCTGATGTGTCCCTATTGCACGCTACCTTTCCTTGCGACCCAGACGACTGCCAGCAGGGCTCGCTGCCATCAATCAGACGAGATGCTTGGTTCACCGAGGATGACACGTTTAGGCTCTTCACCATGCGGGACCAGCTGTCCAGCAGCATTCCGGGCTGACTGCTATGACAACGCTTCAGCTGTTTTCCAGAACGGCCACAAAATACTGCTGACTGTCCTGTTTCATGTGGTCAAAAAGAAAGTTAATACTTGCTGAACTGGGGCAGAAGCTTCATGATAAGGAAATCAAGAATATTACACAGTGATGAGCTACTTCGAGAAAAAGTTTTCAAATTAAAAGGAGCTAATAAATGCCAAAAATGGCTTTAAAAATCTAGTCAAGGTATTTTACACCAGTTTATGAGATGAAGTCTATATAATGCTATGACATGTTCCACTAAAATCTCTCAGGTAACAGCAGATTAATATATTTCCAAACAAAAAGGACACAAACAAGTTGTGGGAAAAGTTCACTAACAGTGCTCACAGAAAATATTCTTATGAAAAATGCTTTAATAAATACAGGCCAGGTGTGGTGGCTCACGCCTGTAATCCTAACACTTTGGGAGGCCGAGGCTGGAGGATCGCTTGAGGCCAGTAGGTTGAGACCAGCCTGAGCAAAGCGCAACCCCTGTATCTACAAAAAATAGAAAAATTAGCTCAGCATGGTGGCGCTTGCCTATAGCCCCAGCTACTTGGGAGGCAGAGGCAGGAAGATTGCTTGAGCCCAAGAGTTGGAGGTTGCAGTGAGCTCTGGTGACACAACTGCACTCTAGCCCAGGCAACAGAGCAAGACTCTGTCTCAAAAAAAAAACAGTAATAATTTTTTTTAAAAAGCTGTTATAAATTCAAAGCAAAAAACAAATTTGTAAAGTATTTCCATTTTTATTAATGGCAAATCTAGAAATTCAACTAGCCTTCTCCATTGAAGACAAGAAGAGCCAAACGAAACATTCAAAAATGAATAAATCCTCTTGAAAGTATCAGAATTAATGAGATAGTAATGAATTACAAAACCAGAATCTAAAGAAGGTTGGGGATGAACAGAACTGAGAGCCTAGAAATAAATCCTTATTTCTATGGTCAATTGATTTTCAACAAGGGAGCCAAGACCATTCAATAAAGAAAAGACAGTCTTTTCAACAAACGGTGCTGAGAAAACTGGACATGCACATGTAAAAGAATGAGGTTGGACCCTTAGGTTACACCATATTTTAAAAAGTTACTCAAAGTGGAATAAGGAGCTAAATTTAAGAGCTAAAACTATAAAACTCTTAGAAAGAAACATAGGGGCTAATATTCATGACCTTGGGTTTGGCAATGGTTACTTGACAATAAACTCAAAGAAAAAGTCAAATGCACAGGCAACAAAAGAAAAAAGTACATAAATTGGATTTCGTTAAAATTAAAAACTTTCATGCATCACAGGATGCTATCAAGAGAACGAAACAACTTACAGAATGGAATAAAATATTCGCAAATCATATCTAATAAGGGTTTAATATCTAAAATATATAAATAACAGATACAACTCAACATCAAAAATTTTTAAATGGGCAAAGGACTTTAAAAGACATTTTCCTCAAAGAAGGCATACAAAGGACCAAAAAGCACATGTAAAAAGGCTCAACATCGTATACATTAGGGAAATTCAAATCAAAATCACAACAAGATACCACTTCTCACCTACTAGGACGGCCATGTTAAAAAAACGGAAAATACAAGTGCTGGTGAGGATGTAGAAGAATTGGAATACTCGTACATTGCTGGTAGGAATGTAAGATGGTACAGCCACCGTTGAAACCATTTTGGCAATTACTCAAAAAGTTAAACAAAGAACTACCATATGACCCTGCAATTCCACTGCTAGGTACATAACCAACAGTTTTGAAAACCGGGACTCAAACAGATACCAATGTTCACAGCAATACTATTCACGATAACGAAAGGTGGAAACAACCCAAATGTCCACTAATAGATACATGGATAAATAAAACACGGTATACACATACAGTGCAATATTATTCAGCCATTAATATGAATGAAGTTCTGACATATGTGGCTGAACCTTGAAGACATTATGCTAAGTGAAATAAGCCAGACACAAAAGGATAAATATTACATGGTTCCATTTAGATGAGGTACCTGGAGTAGTCAAATTCATGGAGACCAAAAGTAGACTCAAGGTTACCAGGAACGGGAAAGGGAGACGTGGGGAAGTCAAATTGCTTAATGGGTACAGAGTTTCTGTTTGGAGTGACAGACAAGTTTTGGAAATAGATAGTGGTGATGGTTGTGTGGCACTGTACTAAATGTACTTAATATCCCAAGTTGTAAACTCAGAAACTGACTAAAACGGCTAATTTTAAGTTATATATTTTTTGCCACAATAAAAAACATAATAAAAGGCATACAAATAAAAAGACTCACTCTCCATCTAACCAATTCCATACTCCATGCAACTAAACACTAATTAGTTTCTTGAGATTCTTTTAATGTTTCTTTATGGAAATACAAGCAAACATACCTATTCTAATTCCTCCCCGTTTCTTAAAAAACAGATGGCCAGTCATCAGTGGGTAAGAACACCCCTTTTGTCTCACTGTACTCACTCTACGGTGCTCACTGTATACACATGAACCTTAAAAGAGCAAATTCCAATACATATGTGTCCACAATAATTGCCTCATTAATAATATTTGGTAGAAGAAAGAACATAGCCATTCTGTCATACCTGGTTCATTTATTCTGCCAAATGTATGCCTGGTGTTGTGCTTTTTGGTCTTGAAACACGTTTCACAAAAATCAAAGTCATCACAGTTTCTACATTTGAATCTGGATCCATTGATAGGAAACATTTGACAGCCATCACACCTATTTTTAAAATAGCCGTTGAATAGATAAGAAAAACTTATCAGTTATTAAACCTAATTCAAAAGAAAACCATTCCTCCCCACACAAATCTAGCAATCATAAAAATAAAAACTCACGTAACCCCCGGATGAACACTAGGCACCAACTCCATTTCTGATAACAAACCAGTCCAGTGAGACTGCTGAGGAAAGTCGACAATGATATCTTTTCCATTGGCACTGAAAGCTAGGACAGAACGGAAATCACCTGAACATCTTCTTTATCACCAATAAAAACTTAAAATTAAAATTAAAACTGTACCTGGCCATGTGATGTTATACTGTAGTTATTTATGTTTTACAAAGGGTACCTATCTTTTAGAATATGTACTAAGATACTTATGAATGAAATAACACAATGTCAAGGAATAGCTTCAAAATAATCAAGGGAGGAGATTATGGATGAAAAAATTCTCGCCATGGCCGGGCGCGGTGGCTCACGCCTGTAATCCTAGCTCTCTGGGAGGCCGAGGCGGGCGGATTGTTTGAGCTCAGGAGTTCGCGACCAGCCTGAGCAAGAGCGAGACCCCGTCTCTACCAAAAATAGAAAGAAATTAATTGGACAACTAAAAATATATAGAAAAAATTAGCCGGGCATGGTGGCGCATGCCTGTAGTCCCAGCTACTCGGGAGGCTGAGGCAGGAGGATTGCTTGAGCCCAGGAGTTTGAGGTTGCTGTGAGCTAGGCTGACGCCACAGCACTCTAGTCCGGGCAACACAGTGAGACTCTGTCTCAAACAAACAAAAAAAAAAAATTCTCGCCATGAGGTGACAACTGTTCAAGCTGGGTAATGGCCACATGAAGGTTTATTAGACAGGCAGTCCCCAGGATATAAACGAGATATGTTCCTGTGAATGTCTTTAGGTCAGATTTATATGTAACTCAGATCTCTGATGAATAGCACATGTGATGATAATAATAACAACAATACTATCATGGTTCATATGTGGTAATAGTAATAAAGTATAATACTGTAATGATAATAATAATACCCCTGTACTGTAATAATAAGTTACACAAACTATTGTGCTCTATTAATTCAAACAGAACATAAAATCAAACTCATACAAAAAGTTTAGATAGGAGATAGGAGAAATTTCAAAACAGAATATTAAAGGTTAACACTCACTTAATTTTGCATCAACACTAGGCTAATAGGAATGTTACATTTATTTTGATCTTCTAACCAAATCAGTAATAACTTTTACATTTTAATAATTAATCCACTACACTGCTTAGTAATAACTGATGCTTTCATTGATTGGAGCACTGCCTTTCACATGTTCCATTATTCTCACTTCATCTTTTATAATTGTACCGATAGTCAAGCGACTGAACCCTAATGCTTTCCCAATGAATGATGGCATCTGGCATTTCTCCGAATGCTTAATTATTTCTATTTTCATTTCCACTGTAACAACCTTTCTCTTCACTGCAGGTTCATCTGGACTTGCAGTTGACGTTTTGCTTTGGAGGCATGGTCACAAGGGTAAACACAGACTCACAAAATCAAATTAATAAGTTAAGGTGAAAGAAATGCTGCACATAAGCGACCATACAAACAATGAGGCTAGCCATTAGCATAAAGATGCTGCACCAACAAACTGCTTACACCATGAGGATTTGCTTACATGCAGAAGAAACTTGTTCCCAAATTATTAATTTAATTATCGATAATCCTTGAGAGCCTTGGGAGCCTGTTCCTAAGCACAGAATACTGTAAGTCGGGTCATCCATAACTCAGAGACTGCCTGTCCTGTATTCTTTATTTCTGTATATGTTTAAAATTTTCCACAATAAGAAATCTTGTTTGTTTTTAAGTAGAGAGTCAAAAATTCCATTTAGTACTTTCAGTATCTTAGGGAATAAAAACATTAATAATGTTAAAACTCCTGTCCTTTCATAAGAGCAATGTGCCACTCAAAACATTAACCTAGAAGCCGAATTCTTGTTTATAAAATTTGTCTTTTTTTGTAAATCTCTTAAGAATTTCTTAAGCAAAGAAAAACGTTAAAATAAAGTAAAATATTAAATAGGCCATTTGTGCTTATATAACCTGAGAAACTCTAACAACACCCTCATCCACTGGGAAAGCACCATCAACTGTGGCTGTTTTCTAAGCAATTTGACAGAAAGAGCTTTCTACAACACAGTTCATTAAAAAAAAAAAAAAAATCTCTTTATGGTATGAAAAGAGTTTAAAGATAAAATAAGATCATGTATATATTTAATTATTTCTCACGTAATTGTTAAGATGGACATAATATACCTTTCCAAAGTGTGCCAGGGGTATGATTTGGAATCTCAATAATATCACAATACAACCTGAGAATTCTGTGTTTCCAGTTCCTAATTCCCATCATTAGTACATTACCATTTCCTAAATTCAGTCCTAAATTTTTATATAGCATGAAAAAGAAATGCGGTCCCTGATAGCCAGGAGCTGGCCTGTCCCACAGGTTAAGCTATAATGTGGAACTGACAGAACAAGTTTATAGAACACCAACATCAGACAAGGCCATTCTGTGACTGATGAATCAAGGCAAAACCAAAATGCCTCCTTAATCATGTATGATTAATTAGATCAAGGTCAAATCTAATCCAAACCACAAACACAACCACACATTCCCCTACCCTGGTGATTCGAATGACTGTTTCCTTACCAAACATAACTTGAGCCTGGTTCCATTCTTTCTGCTTGCTGGTAAGATTTATTAAGACATTCAGTTCTAGAACTATTGCCCCACCTCTGCTTCCTCAAACCCTCTCCCAAATACCCAGCACAAGCCTGATCAGTCCTTGCTGAAACCCTCTGATGGAGACATCCCATTCTCCAAGGTATGTGTCCTCCTGAATTGCAATGAGTCAATATAATAAATCTGACTTGGTTCAACTGCAGGCGTATCCTTTGTGGCCTTTGGCCAGAAGGCACTGACAAGCCAAAGAACACTATATATCATAAGGCCTTCTTCACACTAGTTTTTTCTTGCCCTTGAATGAAAAAAAAAAAAACTAAATTCACATTAGTTAATGAAAAGTTAACATCTGGAATTTTGTTGCCTGGATAATATTACCTTTCACAACTCCCACACTTTGATGAGTCACAGATCCCCATTTGTATTTTGGCGTGGTAACAGAGGCTTTGACCCGTACTTTATCACCAATCTTGATGTGAGAAGAAGAACTTGGTGGAGGATAGCCTAGAGATAAATGCACTATAATTAGCATTCATTTCTGGGAACTGTCTCTAATTAAGAAAAAGAATGTGCTCACCTATAAGTTCCACGTGAATGTACCTAACCCAGTAGGTGCCCCCTTTCTGCTGCCAGTCACACTGCACGTTGAGGTCGTGCAATCCATCCCTATCCAGCTTGATGACTTTGCCCACGTCGCCTTCGCACACTTCTTCATATGTTCGACAGCATCTAACCATCATTCCTACCTAAAATTGAAATGAAATTGAACATCCAGTCCAGTGTACATAGATGAAATGAACTATAAGTAACACTCTATTCTTAAGAAGGAATTTTGTCTAACATCCAGAGTGTGCTCTAAGTATCATTTTATGCTAAATGGAACCAGCGCTCTTTAGAAAACTGGCTGGCTCTGTGTCTCAGGCAGGAAATAGACAAGATGAGTTGGAATCAACTTGTGCCATAAAGCAAAGAAGCCATCAATGAGCACTGGGTTCACTCAAAAGGACACTTTCCTCACCAAAAGGAATAATAGCTGAAACACATCGAATCCTAAAAGCCAATGAATTCATCACCATGGTAATAAGCAAACAAGGCATCTTGGTCACTCTTATAAACAGCAGAGCACCGATGCATCATTCTGAAAATTGATAAAGCCTGCCCATGTTATAAAGAGCAACCGGGGTTGATGAAGTTTTCTTCAGAGAAGAGAACTCCAGCTAAATTCGGAAAGGATGACAAAGTTAGAAAACCACTATCAGGAAGTCTCTGATGATGGGTCTAGGTGATGACACCCCAGTGCCTACTGGAGCTACAAGGTGAACAATGAACTTCATCAGGAAGGAGCAGGCTGACAAGACCTAACCCACCTATGCGGTTTGCCTATCGACATGAGGCAGGAAAGAGCTCTCGCTTTTGAAGCCTTCCTGCCTAAGATTCAGCCTGGGCCCACTCACCTCCAGCCCTAAGTTTCTCCTATTTTATTGGAGAAACAGGGACAGAGGAAGACAGTAGCCAACACAAGGAAGCCACCTCCAAATCCAAAATATAAGACATTTGATGGACACAGTTTCAATCACAAATAAATAGTATGATAAAGGGGGCTAGCAGGTGAGGGGGCAGGCAGGGAAGAGGGCTGTTATGGACCAAATGTTTGTGTTCCCACCAAATTCATGTGTTGAATAAAGCCCTAACCCCCAATGTGGCTGTAGTAGGAGACAGGGCCTCTATGGAAGTTATAAGGTTAAATGAGATCATAATGGTGGGGCCCTGATCCAACAGAATTAGTGTCTTTATAGGAAGAGACACCAGAGTGCCCTTGCTGGCTCCAGCTCCCCCAACCCCAGTCCTGTCTCCATTTGAGGACACAGCGAGAAAGTGGCCATCTACAAGCCAGGAGGGGGCCCTCTCCAGAAACCAGCCAAGCTGGGACCTTGATCCAGCCTCCAGAACCATGAGAAATGTCTGTTGTTCAAGCTACTCAGTCTATGGTATTTTGTCATAGCATCCTGAGCTGATTAAGACAAGGGGAAACCATTCTAGGTTAAAAGAGACTTCAAAGACATATTACCCAAATACAAATAAGGTATATGATCTTCTTTGTATCAAAATTCAAAACTAACCATAAAAAGCCATTTTAAAGAACACTAGGAAAACTTGAGCAAGCACTGGGTATGGGATGATATTAAGGTATTATCATTTATTTTGTTAGCTAATATTGCATAACAGAAATGTCATTACATTAAAAATAAAACCCCTTATCTATTGGGGATACATACTGACATATTTACAGGTAAAATGAGATGAAATATACTAAAACAAGAGTATGAGAAGAAGAAAAGAAAGGAGTTAAGGTGGATAAAGGACTACATAAAACATAACTACGTTTTAAAAATTAGATGGCAGTGAGAATGATTTAAGAAAAACAAGCAAAAAATATATGAAAAGTGTCACAAATGGGGTTAATGGAGAAAAGGCCATCTCTGCACCACATACACTGTGGATAGTCCCCTCCATGCCCATCTTCTGCCCCTCTGTCCTGTGGTCACTCTGAGCTGGGTGCCCATCCTGTTGAGCTGCCCTCCACACTCTCGCACCTCCTCAACACAGCCCCCCAATCCCACCCCCTAACTCCAGTCTGTGCTCCCATTCTATGGCATGCAGCTCCTTCTCGCTTAGCTGAGAGCTTACTGCCCGGGTTGGACTGGCTTCCACCACCAGCGCGCAGGCTCCCTGAGGGCAGGGCCTCTGTCCACTGATGCCTGGCATGCAGGAGACAATGATCCAGCCCAAGACAGTGACTCACCTGAATATTTTCTCTCACATACACAGCATAATCATCATTACTCAAAAAATCAGCTCGTTTTTTGTAGGTCTGGCTCTCCGTCACAACAGCACCAGTAGACTACAAAATAGAAATACATTTTTTAAAAAAAGAGAGAACTAGATCAACCTATTTAAAAAAAAAAAAAGTAAAGTATGAAATACTACATTATACCTATACTTTAAAAATACTATATATTTCATATTATAAAAATCTTCATTTAAAAAAGACTAATAGTAGTAGCATAATAGGCAGAAATGAATCTCAAAAGCTACAAGTACAGATTTTCAAGGCATTTCCAAATTAATCCTATGAGATAATTTACTCAGGTCAGAAATCAATGTGTCACACAAAACATGATATTTTAATAAAGTATCTTTTTTTTTTTCTTTTTTGAGACAGAGTCTTGCTCTGTCACCCTGGCTAGAGTGCCGTGGCATCATCATAGCTCACTGTAACCTCAAACTCCTGGGCTCAAGCAATGTTCCTACCTCAGCCTCCCAAGTAGCTGGGACTATAGGCGTGTGCCACCATGCCTGGCTAATTTTTCTGCTTTTTGTAGAGATGAGGTCTTGCACTTGCTCAGGCTGGTCTCAAACTCCTGAGCTCAAGCAATCCTCCCACCTCAGCCTCCCAGAGTGCTAGGATTACAGGTGTGAGCCACCACATCAGGCTTAATAAAGTATCTTCTAATGGCTACCCAACATCACTAGGTATTTGAGCAAGGATCTGTTTTAAATCTAATAGTAATTTTGATATAGAAAACCCAATTATCACTTCAGTATCAAAACAGACAGCTTTGTCCTATGCCCAGATGAACTGCAGGTAAGTCTTCGTGGAGTGGTCCACAGTAGCTATGGCTAGTTTTCTCAAGGGACAGAGGAAACTAGCATACAAGATAGAGCACAAGACAGACACCAGCTAGGGTGCAGGCGAGTCACACAGAGGGCACTGACCACAGAGTAGGCTGCGTCGTCCACATCTTCCACCACCTCCTCATCTGAATACTCGTCAGACACTGTGTCTGCGTCCGAGAGCTCTGTGACCTGCACATCGGAGTGGTCCAGCAGCCACCCAACCAAGGCTTCCACCCCTAAGAGCAAGCACACACAGCACACCACAGGCCACTGTGAGGACCAATAGCACTGAAATGTAGACCCACAGACAAACAAGCACTGACAAGGAAAACACAGTACCAGGCAAGCCAGACGCATTCCCAGAAGCGCCAGTGAGTGACTTCAGTGCAAACTCTATGTTCCTTCGGGAAAATCCCATTTCCATGAGTTGTGCCACAATAGGCAGAGCAGGAACAGGCGACTGCTTGCGCCTCTTCACCCTGGCAGGGCGGATGTGCTGCATGGTGACAGGTGTGGTGGCCTCGCTGGAGCTGCAGTCTTCAAACCCTGGGCTTGAAGGGTGAGTGGACTCCACAGCCAAACACTGACATACAGCAAGGGCAGCAGCCTGAGCAGACAAGAAGAGAGTTCCAAGAGGTTTGTGAGAGTGTCCTTAGCCAGCTTACAGTCTACATAGGGATGACTATGAACTGCAGTATAGATGGACAGAAAGCCCAGATTTGCATACATTTTGCACCCATTTTAAGTGGGTTGATAAAACATGTTAGAAAATGACAAAGCCAAGTTTGACAGTTTAACGAAAAGGAAAGATCAAATAACTTCCCTGACTGTTTCAGTACACAAACGGCCTAGTAAATTTGCCAAATATCAATGTTTATTAAGGAAAACTTTGCAACGGCCCAGACCTCTAACCAAGCGAGCACAGTCAGATGGGGCAGGGAGAAAGGTGTCCCCCTGCCATCATCAGGCACCTGCTCTTACCTGTGTAACAGGCCAGAAATGACACCAGATTCTTATGTACCAATAAATCAACCCCCAGCTATTCAAGGGTCAAATACCCACTTTGGGGGTTAAACATGGTATTAAAAAATAAGGGAAATAAAGAATAATTAGTTGGGAGACACACTGCAATGAATCAGTGAACATCTGCACTGCCAGTGTCTGCAGCTGTGAACTCCCTAATTACAGCGCGTGCACACCTCTCCCCTGATCTACTTGCAACTCTCTGTTCCTCATCCCCAGCTGCTCTCACAGCACTGAAGACTTGATATTTTGTTAAGCTGAGCATGTGAGGAAGGAACTAGGAAGAAATCGAGGACACTGTAGAGCCTCCCAGTGCTTAGGAAGTGTCAAAAGCCTAGGGCTTTACAGTGAAGTCTGGGTAAGATGAAAGTGACAGGTTTCCCCCTAAAAGTTTACAATTCAGAATCAGATTTAGCTAAGAGTTCTGGTTCTGGTAATAAGGAGTTAGGCACAGTAGACTAATCCTCTGCTGATAATAATTATGAACCCTGGGCAAAATATTTTTAAAAACTGCTGGAGGGCACTAGAGAACAGCTGAAGCAATCGAAACTGGAATGGGTGCAACCCTTGACACAAGGGAAGCCAGCAGGCAAGATGCACACTTAACCACAGACAGTGGCAGTGCTACTAGATTGCAGTCGGAGGCTGGCCTTCGGGCCTCAAGAGCAACTATGAAGTGAGGGGAATGACCCCTCAGAGAGAAAGTACGGAGGGAAAAGCCACAGAATATGTATACCAACTACCCTAAAATCCTTGGCTGATGCCAAAACAAAGCACATACATGAGACTTTAAAGAGCCCAGCTCTTCACAAAGGCACTGCTGTAAGGCCAGAGGGACGTCTACAGCTGCCCAGGGCAGAACCAATATTTGAGGTTCAAGTCCATCTGAGTATGTGTTAGGGGGAAGGGGTGTTGAAACTTCCACTGAACCCCCAGAAGAGAGTCTAAATCCCCTAGAATTAAGGACCAGGAACCAGAACGAAGGGCAAAAACAAAATAAACAATCAAAAAAAGCCTAGCACCAAGCCCCTCAGGATCAAGGAGGACTGCCAGATATTTAACTGCCTGTGAGAAGAAAATTCCACATTCTCCAGAGATGCTGACAGAACCCAGAGCCAATACAATGTAATATCCAAGGCATCCAGAATACAATAAAAAATTACTAGATATGTGAAGAACAATGACCAATAACTGACCATAATCAAGAGAAAAAACTGCCAAGAGTAGTAGACCAATAGGTGGCCCACAAGTTAGAATCAGTGAATAAGAAATGTAACACAACTATCAGAAATATGTTTTAAAACATACAGTAAAAGATAGATACAAGGGGTCAAGAGAACTGTAAAGAGAGGGATAAAACTATAAAATGAGAGCCAAATGGAAATAAGAGATCTGAAAAACATAAAATAAAGCATTTCTTAGATGAGCATAACAGCAGATTAGACCCAACAAAGCAAAGCATCCTGACCTTGAAAATAGATCAATACAAATTAATTAAGCTGATTAACAAAGACAAAAAAAGATTTTGAAAATAATGAAAAGAAACTAGTAGTCTAACATGTGTAATGGTAGTCCCAGAAAAGAATAAAAAGAGAGCAGGACAAAGGGGAAAAAAAACAATAGTCAAAAAGTTTCCAAATTTGGTAGGAAAAAATAAATCACTCCAGAGATACAGGTAACTTAAGCAAATCCCAAAGAAGATGGAGGAAAAAAACATGCACATATAGGCACATCTTAGCCAAACTGCAGAAGACCAAAGAAAAATAGAAAATATTAAGAGTAGCCAGAGAAAGATTTCCCACAGAAGAACGAAGGTAAGAATGATGGCCAACTTGCCATCAGAATCAATGGAGATGAAATGACAGAAGTACTCTCTTTGGCAGACAGCTCTTCCCACTCCTAAATGACAACTCCACATTCCCTTCTATGTCTTACCATGCAGCATCCTCCCAGCATGAATACAGGCTATGCTCCACCCGACACGCTCTGAAATTGCCTAGCATCCTGGCCCTTTACACTGAGTCTTTGCCCCAGAGGTTTTCAGACCTAAGAGGGAGCTGGAGTTCAGACCAGTTCAGAAAAGGCATGGCCACCTCCTCCCTCCTCGCCCCATTCCCCCGTTTCTTGCTGTTCCCCCTTGTGCCCCCTCATCTTTTCAGCTCACTCTAGGACTAAGGGGAGCCCTCCTATGGGCCCCAAAACAGCTGCCCCCTCACTCTGGATCTTTGTTCCCCATAGGGCCTTGGTCTCTCAGGATTTCTATTAGGATAATTTCTGCCTGCCAAACTGAGCACTAAAGTTTTGCTTTTGTCTTTGATATTCTATCCAGAATTTTTTTGTATTACACAGCAAGAGGATTTTAAGTAACATCTAGTCCTCTATGTTGCCAGCCACAAAAGCTCCCATCACTCTCAGCCTCGGTCACATTGCCTGTTCCATGGGACTGTCCGGCAGCTCAGAACATGCATGCTCCCCTGCATGGGAGGGCCAGAGCCTGGCGGCAACAGGGCACACCCAGAGGTCTATGAGTGAAGGAAACAAACAAGCAAGCACAGTAGTCCTAAGTCTAATGTCTCTTCCAATAACAATACTTTCTGGAAAAAGACCCCTCCATAAATATATGAGCGTTTAACCCATGCTACATCTACTCAAACAATTTACACAAATCCAAAATAAGGTTAAACTTCAACCTTCTCACTCTTTAACTAGTGTTACAACGTTCTGCTGACTATGCCCAAACATGGTAAAGCCTAAGAGTCATAAGAATTATTTGGGTACCATCATTTAAAATTCAGAATATATCCTTAAGAAAATACACATCTAAAAATATTATTTACAATTGAGTACACTGAAGTAAAAACTGTCAGGCATACACAACTATACCTCCAGTTCCTGTTTATCAAATATGGCCTTCACGGGGGATGGCTGGGTGGCTGCGGCCAGCAACTGCTGCAAGAGGATCATGGGGGGCTGCGGCCCTTCGGGGGACAGGTCCCCAAGGTCGGGGGATGCAGCTGCTCCGTCATCTGAATGTAAAAACAAAATATGCATAACATTCTATTTTCAACTGCAAACATTTCTATCATTAAAGAGAATGTAATTGAGCATGTTAAGCCAGATATGATTTCTTCCTCATTAAGCAACAGACAACCCAAATCTTCAAGGCTCAGGTATCAAACAAAACTACGCTCTAAATAATTTTCCACTCCCTGCTTTTTGGTCTCTGTCCTTCATTAGTTCCTCTGTCTCTTAGAGCCAACAAATGCTGCTTCTCAGATTTCTGTCCTTGGTCCAATTTTTACATCTTCTCTTTCTTGTTTACTAATTGCTTCAGTAACCCCTGCAATGGACACATCCCAAGTTTCTATTTCTACTGTGGCTTTTCCCACTAAGCTTTGTTCGAATCATTTAGTGACACCAATTTCAAATGTGTCATGTGGTCAGGGTGATGATGTTTTGTCTGTTCTGAGTGGGCTTTAGGTGAGGCCTTTAGGGTTACCTTTGCTACAGCCCTGGATATCCACTGTCCAGGCCCATTTCACACAATTCGCCCACTAGACCAGGGGTGGGAAATCTTTCTCTTAAAGGGCCAGACAGTAAATAGTTTAGGCTTACAGGCCATATGGTATGTGTCACAACTACTCAACTCTGCCATTGTAGAGCAAAAGCAGCCAAAGATGACATGTAAACAAGCGGTATGCCTGCCTTCCCATAAAATTTTATTTACAAAAACAGATGTCACAGTAGTTTGTCGATCCTTGCTTTAGAAAGCTCCATCTGGAGCCCCCGCTCTGCACAGACTTGATAACCTTGAGTCATCTCTGTCATAACTGTTCATCAGGGTGAGGGCAGAACAGCTGGCCCAATTCCCAAGCTCCAGTTTCCCAATCTCTGCAATTATGAATTATCTTCAAGGTCCCTACCACCTCTAATATGAATGAATCTGCACTCTCAATCAATTTCTCTCAAACTCAGCAGGTTTAAAATTAATTTCAGAATATCCTCTCGTCTTAAGATTAAGAAATAAACTCGAACACTCCACATTCCACTTGACTCCCTTATTTTCTTTTCAAATGCACTACATACTGTCCTCCTCCCAACTCAGAACATCAGCCCAAACTTGAAACATTAGCCATCTTTGACTTTTCACTGGCTTCCCACAAAGTTATCATCTAAATACTATACCATCACAGTGTCTACTAGAACCTTCTTTCCACTTTTCATGCCTTCCCTGGAAGACAACCCTCAACTTGACACAAGAGCAATTCTCCATCTTCATGATCTACCATTTCAAATACTGCTACACCTCACTAGCAGATTTATCATCGCCCTGAGTATCAATCCATCCTTATCACATGGCCCCTGCCACAGCTTTCCGAATCGACCTTAATTCCAACCTGGCCTCCAAGGCACTCTATAACAGGATGTCAACTGCCTTCTCCAGCTTTAGCCCTGGACTCACCAGAGCTAAAGCTCCACGCACAGCAAAGCTGCTCAGCACTCTCCCAAAGACTTGATGCTTTTCATTTGTGCTCCTGCTGTCTCCTCCATCAATGTGGAGAGTCCTTGTCACCTGGCACCTGTCTGCCATGCCCCTTCAAAGACTGCGTGCACCAGCCCCCAGCTGCCAGTGTCCCCCCATGCCTTGGAACTGTGCTCACACACTTCACAGCCTACCAGCCCCATATGATAGACAGAGCCATCTGCATTCATTTTCTCTCCTCCTCCCAAACCTAGAAAATAATGATCATGAACAATGACTATCTTTTCCCCCATAGTACTTAGCACAATGTCTTTCAACAGATGATCAAAAAACATTTCATAGCTTTGGTTTTCTCCTATCAAAAGTGATATGAGCTCATTCTAGAAAACTGAATATAGAGAAGTATAAAGAAAATAATATCGGCCCAAATTCTACCAAAGATTACTATCACTATTTTGCTAAACAGATGAACCTATGGCATGTCTATAAACAGAAAAACACAGCAATGTGTTTTGTTTACTTATCATTTCCATGTTTCCATGGCAATAAACATATACAATTGGCCCTCCATATGCATGGGTTCTGCATCTACAGATTCAACCAACCAAGGATTAAAATATTTGGAAAAAATTTAAAAATAAAAAATAACATTATAACAATACAATAATAAAAATATAAATTTTTTAAAAATATACAATAACAATTATTTACATTGATTTACATTATTGAAGTATACAGGAGGATATGCATAGATTATACGCAAACACTATGCCAATTTTATAGAAGGGACTTGAGCATCAACGAATTTTGGTGTTCTTGAGGGGCCGTGGAACCAATACCCCATGAACACTGAGAGATGACTGTATATGTACCATCATTTTGAACAGCACCATGGTATTCCACTGCAGGGATATTCCACATAATAATGGGCATTTTAGTGTCTTCAGTTTTTCAACATAAAAACAATACCAAAATAGAAGCCATGATGACACTGGTAAACATATTATCCTTACATGCCTTTTTATGCAATAAATTCCCACAAGATGACTTGCTAGGTCAAAGCATACAAATACACATATATATGCATTTTAAAGTCTGACATGTTTCCTCAAATGTGCATTCAGCTGGTTGCACCAACTTAAATTTCCACTAGCAATGTGTTCATGGAGTGCTGCTTTATGTCCAAAAGAAGAACCACCATAGGGTTTTCTTGTAAAAATACATGTTCTGATTTCTTTGGTCTGAGGAGGAGTGGGAGTCTGCACTTCCAACACTTTCCTAAGTGCCATCAATGCTGCTGGGCCCTGCATCACACTTTAAACAGCAAGGCATGAGGATACTGTTTTCCCTCCTCACCCACCAGAACCCTGGTCTTGTCTGTCTTGTGAGACGACGACAACTTCATTCACAGTTGATGACCACTGGTCAGACCACGTATCTTTCTTGTCATTTATAAGCCATCTAATGTGACCCCTTTTATGAACTGCTTGTTCATGTCCTTTGCCTACTTTTCTACTGGAGTATCTGCCTTTCTTACAAATCTGTAAGAACTTTTTTTAAAAGATACCTGTATGAACAGTTCCCGTCTCCTGAACAGCTGGCTGAGACAAGATCTGCCTCAGTTTATCTTGGTGGGAGAGCAGTGCTCGGCCTGCTTTTAGTATGTACAACTTTAACTGCTGGCATCGCAGCAGGTCCAGGTCCACTTGTCCTGTGGAGGAAAAGAGCTCAGTGAGAGGTGCACGCTCTGCTTGGTCTCTCCTCACCATCAGTGAACCTCTGCAACAAAAAAATAAACAATGCCCTGCCCTTTGGGAATTTACTAACCACACACAAATACTGTCAATAATGAAGGGCTTGTCTTTCCCAGTATTACAACTGGTGCTTCTGGGTTAGGATCCTCTAACCCCCAGAGTCTTCACCCTTCCCTGCTCTCCAGGTACCTACTTCAATGGGTTGGAGTGAAAATTAAAAGGTTTACCATGGTTAGAACCATATCAGATATTATTAGTATAATCAACTGTTTCCCAAATTGCTGAAATTTAATCCATATACCTAGGTCACAAACAAGATAATTTCACCTTTTCTTGCAAGGCTCCTCTGAGAAAATTTTATCAGATACACTAGTTCTTTAACTGAAGAAGATCATGGCAATTCCCCTGGAGTATTATCTAATCTGATGATGTGTAGAGATGCCACAGGCCAATGGAGGATCAGAATAAAGAAGCCATCAGGGCCCCATAGGCCTGAACTACAGGCCTGGTAGCAGCATTCCAAAAACAGGACGTGGCTGGAGGCAAAGGAAGTGCACAGGGAACATGGGGTGTGAGAGACAGGAGGACAAAACAGGTGCCTCCTGGACACCGAGCTTGACCAACTGGCAGACAGTTTTATTCACCATGATGGGAAACGGTGGCTACTGCAGAAAGGTGGGTGAATTTTGGACGTGCTGTGGTGTATACGCACTGGACCTCCAGGCAGAGATGTGAACTGGAGATTCAGAGTTGAAGGTGGTTACCATCATAAATGCTAGAGTAGCATCACAGGTATGGGTGAGAAATGAGTAAGAAAACTCAAGAAGAGTGGACACAATGAGCAGAAGTTACAGGTGAAACCACAAGAATTTCAAGAGTATAAATAATAGGCAGAGAAAAGCACTCTCTAAGAACAAGGAAGGGGCAATGCAAGGAAAATGATGAGAGCATTCTAGATCCAAAGGAATAGTTTAAGCAAGAGTGGCCACAGTTTTAGCCCACCTTGCACATCACAAAGCAAGGTGGATCTGAATACAAAGGCCCCTGTTTCTGGCAGTGAGGATGCCACAAGTAAAGCTCCAAAATGGTAACTGGGCCACAGGGCTATGGGGTGGAGGGTGAGGGTGTTGGGGAGGAAGAGAACACAGACTCCTTTTCCAAAAGCTTGTTCAGAATAAACGGTGAGCAAGAGGGGGTGAGCCATGAGGGTTCTTCAGCTGTGGCTCTAAACACAATGTTGAAGGCTGACCTCAAAATACTCTTATCTCCACACACAAGGTTACATTCCCAACTGTAACTCAACAAATAGTAAATCCATGTGAGAGACTTCAGCAGTCATATGAACTCGCTCTGATAAAAGAACATTATCCAAGCAAGACTAGTTAAGACTGTAGCTTTTGCATCAAGAAGCACCACGTACTGACCTGCAAAGGCCTGTTTAGGTGATTTCTTTATTTTGTGCTTTTCCAATTTGCTTCCAGCGAGGTTCACCAGCTGAGCCCAGACAGAGAGCATGGGCTCTGTGAAAGGCAGGTTGTTCACATTGAACGCCACAGCAGGGAGCTGAGGAGAGAGCACAGAAGCCTTCGACGCGTAGCCAAGGAAATGAACAAATAAAATATTCTGAAAGTTACAACCATGAGTCTTAATTCTGAAATACCACATATACCCAGCAAGTCTTTTTCCATCTGAGAATAATTTCAAAATATGCCATTAAAGGCAATATAGAGACTTACACATATAATAAATACAATCTATTAATATATTAATTTTTCTCTACCAACTTGTCAACAATAATTACATCAGGTTATTATCTTCTTAAGTATTTTCCATACGCTTCAAATTTTCTACAACATATATTCCTAAAATAATCAAAACAGTATTTTATAGAAAACTATAGTTAGATTGTACTTGGGTTACATTAAAATAATGTAAATCACTCACCTTCCTTATGCATCCCTAACTCACAGGTTTAAGATGACAGTAGCTGCTATATTAAGTCATGTCACTCAACACAAGCAAGCCCTATCTACATGGAAAAAGGTTGTGAACCACTGTTCTACATGCCTATGAGACAGGCCCTGCTTATCACAGGAGCACAAACTAATACGGGCAAAACGCAAATGGTTTTCCTGAAGTCACATTATCTTCCTCAAAGGCAAACATGAAGTTCAAGAATTAAGTTCCTCAGGTTCTAATGCCAGAACCCAGTTCTAGTACAAACCTATTTCCTTATCATACAGTAACTGAGCACAAGTGCACCTACTGGTTTCAGCTGATTCAACGGGCAAACACGACATGTCCGCATGTCAGAGAACTGCACAGTGATTTTGCCTTTTGGGGTGATGCGAGTCACGGTGCCTTCTCCAAATTCATCATGCATGACTTGGCCCCCCAGGCGCAGGCGACTGTCAATCCCTCCGATCACAGCCAGGACGGCCATAAGGCCTCCTACTTCTGGGTTCTCAGAGTCGGGGAAGTAGTCCTCTAGCAGGGCCTAGTGTAGACGGCAGACAGCAAGATTGGCTAGGGAAGTGCACGGAGCTGCCCATTCCTCACAAATCTACAATGAAACTAGATTAATTTTGACAAGCAGAACCCACCCCCTCCGACGGCTTTCCTGAGCAGCTGTGGGTAACCAGGCGGAGCTGGGAGTTGATATACTTGTTGATGAGTCCGTTCCACTGGGTCAGGGAGTGCAGCGTGCGGAGCAGAGCCACCACCTCTTCTGCCAGAGTGCTGCTGTGGGTGGCGGTCAGCGAGGCCTGCGGGCGGGCCCTGCGCCTCCTCAGCGTGGACTCTGAGGAAGAAGCACAGAGAGAAGCTCACTGCGCACTGCTCTTAAACCAGGACACAAGCAGGGGAGAGAGCTGCCCACCTCTGAGTAACGGCACGTCAGAAGAACAGGTAGTGAGCAAACTGCCCAAGAAGCCAAACAGCTTTTCCACAAGGCACTTCATGTCCCCTGCCCTTTCTGTCTTGTCCCACGATGGGAGCACTGCTTGCAATAAGTGCACAGCCAAGATCTGAGAAAAGATAATTCACAACGACAAGCATTAAAAAGAAATTATCTGATAGATGAAGAAATTACAGATTGTTGTTTTCTCTTTACTTTTTGTTCCTATAGTGCAATTTATGATGTGAAAATTTTGATATTCATTATTTTACAGCCAGATAATTACACCCAAGTTGATTAATGGTAAGGATTATCAGGGGTTAAAAGATATTAAAGATGCATGTATTTGTTTCCTCAACAAAAAAGAAGTCTTTTTCTTTTAATGCTTCTTAAAACAATAACTACAACTCCTGTGAAGCAGATGAAGAGCAGTTGCAGAATTTATCACTTAACAGAAAAGCAAGTAAACTAAAGTTTAGCAACTTGCCCAGCAGAAAATAATCAAGAACCTCTGCATCTAGAAAATCCACCCTGTGTCACTTCTAGTTCTTTTCTGCATTCATCACTGAATAAAGGCGCCTGACTCGGAGGGCTGGGAGCAGCGGCATGTGGATGCCTCTCTCAGTGGTTGGGGGCTGCCCAGCAGCACATTACCTGCCTCTGCAGCGACGCGGCGGTGAAGGGCGCATGCCCTTCCACGACCTTCATGAGCAGCGTGATCCACTGTGGGGAGCTGAGGGCGCCGCACACCTGCGGCGTGAGCGCAATGCTCCGCACAAATCCGAGTGTGCACCAGCTCCGGTGCTGCTCTCTGTACACCAGCCTGTTTGGAGAAGCTGCCAGGAGGGAAAACAAACTCACTTGGCCACAAATCCCTGGAAACAAATCATGGGTACAATCCTCATTTTTAATAACCTATTATTTTATTTTCAACAATAAGCTACTTTACAAATATGCTGCACTTTGACTAATCCAAAGTGAGGAATGGGAGAAGGCTTTTAAGTTAGCTCAAGGAACATTTCACAGCACTTGTTTTTCCAGGTGGGTCTCACTATTGCCCAGGCTGGACTCAAACTCCTGGGTTCAAGCAATCCTCCCACCTATGGCTCCCAAGTAGCTGGGACTGCAGGCGTGAGCCACAACGCTGGGCTTCGCAGCATTTTTTAAACCTTTAAAGTATGTGTAGTAATTCAAACTAGTCAATGAATTTTATATACATTAGCATTTATAAGCATTAGGAAAATGATCTATAATTCAAATAGCAGTAATTTGCAACAGTGCATCTATTATATTTTTTAAACTTGCATGTGTTTTAAATAACCCCATGATCTTGTTTATATTTAATCTGTCCCATAAATTTCCAATCCAAGTTTAAGGAGTCTGCATTAACAGGATGAGAATGAGAAGTTTTCACTAGGTTTACACAAATTGATTCTGCAATGACTGGGACTACCTCTGTCCAGGTCTCCACTCTCCCCTGAGCTGAGGCTGAGGCTCCGAGGCTGAACCCTCCTGGGGCCTCTCCTACTGCCCCACACAACCAGCCTGCTCTCCCCACCTCCCACCTGCCCTCCTGCTTGCCAGGCTTACAGGGACACCTGCATTCTCTCAGCACGAGACACACACTCCCCTGCCCTCACCCACAATCACACACACTCACTCTGACACTTACACACTCACCTTCACTCACACCCTCATATGCATTCTCACACTCACACTTACCCACACTCACACAATTACATGCTCTCTCCCACAGTCCCTCATGTACACACCCCCCATCAGACTCTCGCATATGCTCACACCACTACTGAAATCGCTAACACATAACAATCCCACAAGCCCAGTCACACATATGCACACAGGACCTAAGATGCCAGCCCACACTCACACACTCACTCATATGCACTTTCATATATACTTACACCCACCCTCCTGTACACACTCACACATGCACTCACAATTACTGAGACACACTCACGAATACTCATGAACACCCAGTTATACACAAGCTCATACTGAAACCCACACTCACATATATTCGCTCCATACTCACATCCATATTGTCACATACACACAGCCTCCCACTGACAATCAAAATGCTGACATTCACTCACACAAGTCACTCATGCCCTCACACTGAAACATAACACACACGTGAGCACACTCACTCACACTCACACTCACCCTCTCGCCAACACACACTTAAGCACTCACCCACTCCCACCCTCTCACACTCACATCCACTGGGCCTCATACATGCCTACTGACTCAGCTTCTCATTCACACACCCAGTAACACCCTCACACACACATCCATGCACACTCAAACACACCTCACACATGCTCTCACACTCAAGCTACTCAGACACACAATTACACATACTAACTCAAACACACATGCTGATGTACACACACTCATGTTCTCACTCCTGCTTCACCCATATGTAGTCCTCCACCCACACCCACATGCCCTCGTGGACATTTGCACACACTCACATGCATACACTCGCACAACCACACAATCACACTGACACTCTCACACACTCATGCTTCCAACACAAACTCTCACCCACACACACATCAATCACAAACTCACTCTCACACTCATGTTCACTCACACACACAGTATATCCTGACACTTAAGCACACATCACACTCACACTCTCACACAATCACAGTACTCTGAAACACACTCATTATATTCACACCCACACTCACATCTGCTCACAGTCACCCCACTTGCTCAACTCACACTCCAACATTTATACTCACATTCACACACAAACACTTTATGGATTAAATTGCCCCCCACCCCCGCCAAACCCCGGAATGTCAAAATATGGTCTTATCTGGAGACAAAGTCTCTTGCAGAAATCATTAAGGTAGGAATTTAGATGACATATTGGATTAGAGTGGACCTAAATCCAATGAAAGAGTCCTTGTAAGAAACAGAAAGGACACATGGAGACACGGGAGGAGGCTATGTGAAGACAGACGCAGAGACTGGAGTGATGCGGCCACAAGCCAAGGAAGCCTGGAGCCACCAGAAGCTGGACACAGCAGGAAGGATCCTCCCCTAGAGTCTGCGGCGGGAACATGGCCCTGCCGACACCTGGATTTGGGACTTCTGATCTCCAGAACTGAGAATAAATTTGTTGTTTTAAGCCAATGTTATGGGTTGAATAGTGTCCCCTCAAAATTCATATGTGGAAGCCCTAAGCCCTATAGAGCCTCAGAATATCCCCTTGTTTGTAAATAATTTACAAACAATACTACAAATAGTTTAGATGGAAATTAAATGGTGTCCATATAAAAAGGGGAAATTTGGACATAGACACACACAGGGAGAATGCCATGTGAACACGAAGGTAGAAATTAGGGTGATGCTTCAACAAGCCAAGACACACCAATGATCGCCAGCAAACCACAAGAAGTAGGGGAAGGTCTGGAGCAGACTCTCCCTCATGGCCCTGAGACCAAACCAACCCTGCTCACACCTGGATCTTGGACTTCCAGCCTCCGAACTGTGAGACAATAAACTCCTGCTGTTTATCCCGCCCAGTCCATGGTACTTCGTTATGGCAGCCACAGGAAACTCATACACACACTCGCTCACACACACACTCGCCCACATCCACACAAACGTGGCCAATATGCAGCCCCCAGCGCTGACTCCCGGGCCCACAACCATTCATTCCATACGTGTCTTGTCCGTCGTCCCGCTTTCCACTAACATTCGCAGAAGGCCGCACAGAGTCTTGGTGGCTTCACTCTGCATGACTTCAGCGTGCACTCCAGCAGAGAGACAGAGAGTCTGCAGTAAGTTAATCGTGCTGGTAAGCATCATTGCTGTGGGGTGAATGTTCCTTTCAATTTGTTCAGATTCTGAAAAAAATAATCAAAACAAGAAACTGTATTCCCAAATAAAATTGGAAGATGGCCATGTATGTAATTTAAAGGATTTGATATCACATTCTTCTTTTTTTATTTTTAAAGACTTTGATTTTTAGAGCAGTTTTAGGTTCACAGCAAAATCAAGAGGAAAGTACAGATTTCACATTCTTCGTCTTCACTTTGGAAGAGGAAACAGATTTTTACAAGAAGAAAAGATGGAACTGAGGATACACCAAACACCCATGCTGATCATTTCCCACCTCGCTCAAAGAAAATGAGCCTTGTAAATAATAGCTAATCGTTTTTAAACATCAGCATGCATATAACTCAGAAACACTGAAATGATTCTAAAGTTTCACTTCTTTAGAGGGAAGTGCTTATCAAATGTCAACAGCCAGTTCTGATGAGCTAGCTACGACCTACATGACAACAAAGTATCTGCACTCTGGAGCAGGGAAGCCACTCACACGTCCAGCCTGGCTGGCCCTGGAACGAGAAGGCATGTGGCCACAGAAGCCACCCTCTGTCACATGGCCTCACCCCTGCCCAGGCTCTGACATCCCTGTGAAAAAAGCCACCAGGCAGACAGCCAGGCCTGCCTCCCACCTGTCATGGTGGGCAGAGGAAGGGGTGGCCCCTGGTCTGGAGCAGCAGGCTGTGGGTAAGATACAGTGGTAACATAGCCAGCATCCACTGCCAGGGCATGGGGACTCCAAGTGCATCACTCCTAACAGCCCCACACAGCAGGCATCATCTCTGTTCACATCTGGGGGACTGGGCCCCAGAAGTGACATGCCCAGAGTGGTGGCATCGAGATGTGAGCCTGTGTGCTCCCAGTCCACGCTGTGCTCTGGGACACAGCCTCTCCACCCCGCTACACCACCTGTTCTTTACTGAGCACACCCTCCAGGTCTCTGCTGACTCTAACAGCGGGCCTGGCCTGATGGCACCGCACACACAGTGGCCACTGGAGCCCTGTGAGGCAGTGATGGCCTCTCGAACAGTCTTACCAAGACCAGCCATGTGACGTTTCCCTCACTTGTCCCAAGGTCTTTTGGACATAGCTGGAAAATGTCATGAAGTTAGATAGGATCTAACTTTCTGGGTCCACCCCCAAATTCTCACCTCTGCTTTCCTGGAATCAATAAAGTACTGACTAAATTCATATTATGTGATATGTTCTGAGTCAAGGGCTGCAGAGGAAAGGTAAAGGCAGGAGGCAGGTGGGACTGGATCATGCTCTGGTGAGGATCGTGGCTGGAGAAGGAGGCAGATGGACAGAGCACTGCAGGGCAATGGCCTCCACCAAGCCCTGGCTGACTCCCTCCAACTGGAGCTCAGTGCCAAGCACACAAGACCCACTAGAGGTGAGGCTGCACCTTACCTCACCATCACACTCTCAAAGGGGGAGCAGGAGCAGGAAGGGAGGGAAAATGCAGGAAGTTAGTTCCAGCAGGGCTGCTGGAGCCCAGAGCCTCTTTGTACACCTGCATCCATCAGTGTCACCTGCAGGCTCAGAGGGCCAAGCACTGTCTGCAGATGAGCCCTGACACACTGTTTTAGACACTCCATCAGACTGTCTTGGACTAACTGCCTCCATGAATCACCCACCTGAGTCATCTTCTGTGTCCGAGTCCTCTGCAGATGGCTGTGCAGAGGCCGGCAGCTCCGCCAGCTTGAGGTCATACTTTCCTTCTTTCCCCATCCTGTACGAGTTGGTGCTGCCTGTGTCCCACTGGACCCTTATCCACCCATCCTCTCCCAGCTCACCAATCACTCGGCCTAGGCCTGGAGGAGGCCCATCCTGAGAAAGCCAAAATAAAGATCCATTAAGAGGGTGTGTGCCCTGCCCTGGTCCCTCCATCATCCCCACCAGAGACCTGCCATACAAATGACTCCATCTGCCCCCTCCCTATAAAGGGGGCCATGTCACTATACACAGATTTCATGTTAACAGATTGGTCCCAAACCTGCAAAATGTACAATTGACATTATTTTAAATTAAATGCCACGAAATAACATTCTCATGCTCCTTTACAAAAGAAATTAGTGGGAAGAAAAAAAAGTATTATCTCAGTGAGGATCCTCTCTGAGCAAATGCCAGACAGGCCTTCCCAGCATGGTCCCGGCAGGCTATCCTTGCCTCTCAAGCCCTCCCAGGGCTTCACAACAGCACAAACCCGAGACAGGCACCAGCACCCCCACATCCCTGCTTCTGTTTGCCCCCTGGGCCCCAGAGTGGAAGTTCCATCTCTCCTCTCTGTGGGAGAAAGCAGTTTATAGGATGCTGCTCCCTGTCCCCAGACACTTTCATTTCTGAGAGGACTGTAACAAAGCCCATGCTTAACAGTGTGGCTGAGAAAACCCAGACAGAGCCATGGGAAGGTGAACACTGCCTTAACTTAGCTAGGGCTATGGTAAGCAACTCCACCTGGGAGCACCCAGGACAGATTTGGAGGCAGCATGCTATGAGGAAAATGGAGAGATGGCCACCCACCCAACCAGTATCCCCAGAACTGCTGGGTAAACTTCACAGCCCATGGCCAACAGCTTACAGTGGCAGCATCTGGGCCTCCAGCCTCAGAGCTTTCACAATGCTCTCACTCAGAATGAGATTTACTCTCTCTTGCTCACTCTCACTCTTGTTCCACCTGCACATCAAATTGAGCCTCACACCAATGAGTTGTCTGAAAATAGCTGCTACTCTTGGCAGACTTGATTCTGCTCGAGGTGCCCCCACGGCAGGCTGCCATTACTCTCTGTTGGTTTTGACTGTATTCAGCAGCTCAGGAATCAACAACTATGTCATCTATCTCCTTAGTTAAGGCAGTTAACTATTCCAATTTCCACCCCGCAATACCACATCAATCAGGATGTGCAGAAGGTGACTAATATGTTCGAATCAAATCTCTGAGTACCTGATCGCCCCATTTCCAGTCCACACCTCTCATGACCCTGGTCCCAATCTTCATCATGGCAGCCAGTTCTGGTCCTGAGACAGGGAGCTGCACAGGAGTCGTTTCCTTCCTTGTTTCTTCCAAAACTGTGGCAGAGGCTCCTCGTGCAGAAGCATTCATATCTTCCTCAACATTGTCACAACTGGGACCTGTCAGCACAGCAAAAACAACAGCTGAGCCAATAAGTAGCTACAATGTCCTGTTCTTTAATGCACACACAAAAAAAATCGATAGGTACTGATAAAGATAGTAATTTTATTGAACCCATCCTATATTTTTTAATTAATTAATTAATACAATAAATACTAAAAATTTTACTGATTAGATCTAGGATACAAAGAAGGGAAGGGGAAGGACAAAATATATAAATATGCTCAGAAGATATAAAATGCTCAGAAAAGGTATTTGCTCTACTTCTAGGAACTATTTCCTCTGAAAGAACAAAATGAGTAAGTTAGGAAGATACTCATCACATTTTTTATAATAGAAAAACAAAGATAACCACCCTAAATGTCTAACAATGGGAAATTAACAAACATTAACAGTTCTGTGCAGAACAGAGCTAGCCCTCAGACTGAGACGTCTCCTCAGGCCAGCTGCAGGGTCAGCCCTTGGCAGGCATTGGGTAACCTAGATTTCAGGAGGAATCCCTTGTTCCCTAGGTCTGTGGTCCCAAAACCCCAGGCCAAGGACCGGTACTGGTCTATGGCCTATTAAGAACTGGGCTGCACAGCAGGAAGTGAGCAGTGGGTGAGCGAGTAAAGCTTCAACCATGTTTACAGCCGCTCCCCATTGCTCACATCACCACCTGAATTCCACCTCCTATCAGATCAGCAGTGACAATTAAATTCTCACAGGAGCGCAAACCCTACTGTAAACTGCACACGAGAGGGATCTAAGTTGTGTGCTCCCTATGAGAATCTAATGCCCGATCATCTGACATGGAGCTGAGGCAGTGATGCTAGTGCTGGGGAGTGGCTACAAATACAGATTATCATTAGCAGAGAGGTCTGACTGCACAATAAATGTAACACATTGAATCATCCCAAAACCATCCCCCACCCCTGGTCCCTGGAAAAATTGTCTTCCATGAAACCGGTCCCTGCCAAAAAGGTTGGAGATTGCTGACCTAAGTGATAAATGTGGCCCACTGTGCCTGATCTGTCTGTACAAACAGTGTGGTCTATGCTGAAACCTGCCCTCCTCTGAGGTTTGGAACTTGGTATGTGCCAGGCAGAGGGTAGCCGTGTGATCAGCCCCAGTGAAAAACCTGGGTGTCAAGTCTCTAACCAGCTTCCCTGGCAGACAGCATTTCACAGGTGTCGCCACAACTCAGTGCTGAAGAATTAAGTGTGTGCTGTGCGACTCCTCTGGGAGGACCCTAGAAGCCTGCGTCTGGCTTCCTCTGGACTTTGCCCATGTGCCTTTTTCCTTTGATGATTTTGCTCTCTATCTGTTCACTGTAATAAATCACAGCCCTGAGTACGACTATATGCTGAGTCTTGTGAGTCTTCCTGGCAAATCGTCAATCCTGGGGGTGGTCTTGGAGAACCCTGACACAGGTGAGGCAGCAAGGTTCTCTAGAACAACCCCTAACTCCCTGAAACACTGCAGAAGCACTGTCTGGGAAAAGGAAGAATGAAGGGGAGGGGCAAGAATATTTGGTACTGGGTGGCTACAGACTCATCCATAGCATGAAATAAGCTGAGCTGCTGTCAACGGAGAGAAGTAAAATTTACCTGTGGACTCGAAAATAGTAGCTCTAACCCCAGCAGAGTGGGCTTGTGGCTCCCTGGCTGCTGTGCTGCAGTTTGGCCTTGCTGGCTATACTGAGGGGGAGAAAATACAGTCCATGTACTTTTTTGTTTTCTCCTCCAGGTAGTAGGAAAAAGGGCCCAAACAGTCCCAAAGATGGGCTTAAGTGGGCCAAAAATGTAAAAAGTTTGTGTTCCTGTCTCTTCTAAGAGAGAATAAAAAAGGTTAATCCATTCCCATGGTTGGAGGAAAGCTTTAGATAAACTGGGGGGGAAACGACCTTTTCTTTAGTCCAGCTGCTGCCTTGGCCAAGGGCCCCCAGGAGACAACACAGCTGTATTCCAGCTAGGATCTCCAGGGCAGCTGTACTATTAACCCCATAAAAGCTAAATTTACTGCCAGGGGCTTGAATAAATTTGCAACCAAAAAAAGAAGGAAATTTTTTGGTAGCTTTACATGTTGTAGCTATTGTGTCAGGATGTCTACATAAAGTTAATATCATATTCTTTTAATTTCTTAAATGATAAATCATCCTTATCAGGGAAAGTTGCAAATATAGATAGATATTCATAAGATACAACTCCCTTGCTTTTTGCAGCAAGTCAACTGGAATTTAAACTTGTGAGTACTATTAACAGAACAAGTCCCCATAATTAATATTTGTGCAGAGACTTTTATCTATTAGAGCCTCTAGAAAAAAAGGGAGACAACATAAAAAGAGAGGCAATTTCCAGATGGAGATATACTTTTATAATTTTTTTAAAAAGAGATGAGGTCTCACTGTCACCCAGGCTGGAATGCAGTGATGTCGTCATAGTTCACTGCAACCAACTCCTGGCTGAAGCAATCCTCCTGCCTCAGCCTCCCAAGTAGTGGGGACTACAGGCATGCACCACCATGCCCAGCTAATTTTTCTTTTATTTTTTTAGATTTGGGCTTTTACTATGTTGTCTCAGCTGGTCTCAAACTCCTGGGCTGAAGCAATCCTCCCACCTCAGCCTCCTGAGTAGTTAGGATTACAAGTGTGAGCCATTGTGCCTGGCTCACTTTTGTAATTTTTTTTTTTCTTTTTAGAACCAGGGTCTTGCTGTGTCACCCAGGCTGGAGTGCAATGGCGTCATCATAGCTCACTGCAACCTCAAATTCCTGGGTGCAGGCAATCCTCTCACCTCAGCCTCCCGAGTAGCTGGAACTACAGGCACACACCAGCACACCTGGCTTTATTTTTTTTGTAGAGATGAGGTCTGTCATGTTAACCAGGCTGGTCTCGAATTCCTGGACTCGAGTGATCCTCCCACCTCGGCCTCCCAAAGTGTGGAATTACAGGCATGAGCCACCATGCCCTCCCTCACCTTTGTAATTTTTAAAAGCAATTTTTAGTTGCTAATGTGGTCTTAAGAAATCAGGTGTATGTGTATGACTCTTAGATGCTGATTTTTTCCCAGACTGATGCATGGTTTTGAACAGATAAATGTGGACTCTAACACTGATGGATAAAGGGCCTTGCTTTTTCACTTGAATTTTGACCACTGACCCTGCAGCATCTCAGATTTTCAGGCAAAGAACATTATATTTATCAAAAATAAACAGAACACTCCACCCAAAAAGAGGAGAATATACATTCTTCTCAAGTATACCCAGAACATTCATTCTCCAAGACAGACCATATGTTAAGCTACAAAATAAGTCTTAAATTTAAATAGACTGCAAATTATCTTCTCCAGCCAAAATGGAGTAGAAATTAATAACAAAATGAAAACTGTAAAATTCACAAGTATGTGGAAATTAAACAACCAGTGGGTCAAAGAAGAAATCACAAGAGAAATCAGAAAATACTTTGAGACAAATGAAAACACAACATACCAAAAGTTATGCAGTGCAGCAAAAGCAGCGCGAAAAGGGACATTTATACCTATAAAAGCATGCAGAATTAGAAAAATAAGAATACGATAGTTAGCAGAAAGAAGGAAACAATAAAGATTAGAGCAGAGGTAAATGAAACAGAGAACAGAAAAACAACAGAATCAACAAAACCAAAAGCTGGTTTTTGAAAAGATCAGCAAAATTGACAGAACTTTAGGTAGACAAACTAAGAAAAAAGAGAGGCCAGGCACGGTGGCTCACACCTGTAATCCTAGCACTCTGGGAGGCCGAGGCAGGAGGATTGCTTGAGCTCAGGAGTTCGAGACCAGCCTAAGCAAGAGCGAGACCCTGTCTCTACTAAAAATAGAAAGAAATTAGCCAAACAACTAAAAATAGAAAAAATTAGCCGGGCATGGTGGCACATGCCTATAGTCCCAGCTACCCAGGAGGCTAAGGCAGGAGGATTGCTTGAGCCCAGGAGTTTGAGGTTGCTGTGAGCTAGGCTGATGGCACAGCACTCTAGCCCAGGCAAGAGAGTGAGACTCTGTCTCAAAAAAAAAAGGAGAGAAGATGCAAATAACTAAAATCAGAAAAGTAAGTAGGAACACTACTACCAAAATAAAAATAAAAAGGATTATAAAAAAATACTATGAACTATATGCCAACAACTGAGATAGCCTGGATAAAATGGACAAATTCCTAGAAACACACAAATTACCTGAACTAACTCAAGAAGAAATAGAAAATCTGAACAGACCTATAACAAGTAAAGATTGAATCAGTAATCAAAAACTTCTCCACAAAGAAAACCTCAGGACCAGATGGCTCAACTAATGAATTCTATCAAATATCTAAAGAAGAATTAATACCAATCCTCAAACTATTCTAAAACCAGAACATTAGGGAACACTTCTTAATTCATTCTGTGAGGCCACTATTATCCTGGTAACTGTAAAGCTATAAAATATCACTGAAAGAAATTAAAGAAGACCTAAATAAATGCAAAGACACCCCAAGTTCATAGAAAGAAGTTAACATTAAGATGGCAATATTCCCCAAAGCAATCTAAAGATCTAATACAATCCCTAACGAAATCCCAATGGCCTTTTTTGCAGATATGGAAAAGCCAGCCTTGAAATTCATATGGAAATGCAAGGGACTCAAAATAGCCAAAATGACCTTGGAAAAAAAAAAAAAATCCAAATTGGAAGACACACACTTCTCAATTTTAAAACTTACTAAAATGCTACACTGTTCAAAAGAGCATGGTACTGCAATAAGGACAGACATACAGAACAACAGAATGGAATTGAGAATTCAGAAATAAACCTAAATAAATATCTCTGGCAAACTGATTTCTGCCAGCAGTAGTAATACCTTGGGGGAAAGAACAGCCTTTCAACAAATGGCATTAGGACAACCAGATAACCAAAAGAAAAAAGTTGAACTCTTACATCACACCATGTAAAAAAATTACCTAAAAATGGACCAAAGATCTAAATATGTAAGAGCTACAGCAATAAAACTTAGAGAAGAAAATATAGTAGATTTGGGAACAGTTTCTTAAATATGAAAAGCTCAAACAAAAGCTCAAACAAAAGAAAAACAGATAAACTGAATTTATCAAAATTAAAAACTCCTGTCCATAAAGAAAAAAAATAAGCCACTGAATAGGAGAAAACACTTCAATTCACAGAGCTGATAAAATTCTATAGATTTGTGAAGGTCTAATATCCCAAGATATTTCTGAAAGAATTTGAGGATTGGTGTTAATTCTTTTCTAAATGTTTGGTAAATTTATTCGTACTCCTACAACAACAAAAAGATAATTAAAAAATGAACAAAGAACTTGAATAGATATTTCTCTAAAGAAGATATATAAATGGCCAACAAGCACATGTAAAGATGCTCAATGCCATTCATCATCAATGAAATGCTAATCAAAACCACATGAGAAACCACTTCACACCCACTAGGAGAGACTTAATCAAACAAAAAATAACTAGTGTTGATGAAGATATAGAGAAACTAAAACCCTTGTCCACTGATGGTAGCAATGTCAAATGGTACAGCACTGCAGAAAAGTTTGGTAGTTTCTCAGCAAGTTACACATAGGGTTATCATATGACCCTGCAATTCCACTCCTGGGCATGTAACCAAAAAAACTGGAAACTGGTATTCAAACAAAAATTTCTATGTATATGATCCTAGCAGCACTACTTAGAAAAGGCAAAAGGTAGAAACAACCCAAATGTCCATTGACAGATACACAAAATGTTGTATATTTATACAATGAAATATTTTTCAGCTATAAAGTACCAATATATACTAAATGAAATAAGCTAGACACAAAGGCCACAAATTGTATGATTTCATTTATATAATATATCCAGAATATGCAAATCCAGAGAGAGAGAAAGTTGTGGTTGTCAGGGACTGTAGGTTAAGGGAAATGAGGAGTGATTGCTAAATGGGGTGTATCTGGAGTGATGAAAGTTCTAGAACCAGACAGCAGTGATAGTTCCACAAAAGTATGAATGTACTTAATACCATTGAATTGTAAACTTAAAATGGTACATTTTACATTATTTGTACTTCACCACAATTTTTAAAAAAGTTTTTTAATAAAAGAGAGAGAGAAAGCAAATCTTGACATTTTCATAAGGCCCTAAAGCTGGTGCCGACCTACCAATCAGCCGCAGTGCCGTCTGTGTGAGGGCGAGCGTGCCGGAGTTGAGCAGGAGGTCAAGGTTGTTTGCTCCATGCTGCAGGGTGAGCATGCTGAGCATCACCAGGAGGAAGCGTGCTTGCGGGATCGTCCCCAGGCTCGGTCCTGACGGGTTCTCATTGGTAATGGTTTGCAGGGGAACAGGCTGGATACCTAATAAGCATTGGCGCTCACTTAAATTTCTTGTGCATGGATACAAGAATACACATGATGCAGAAAGCACTGGAGACTACTTTACACTTCTATTTTTCAGTGGATTTCCATAGAATGTGGACATCAGGTAGCTCTGTCATGCTTTGCAATGGTCCTACCACCTGCACTCCAAGCACGGATCTCTCCATCTGTCTGTAAGACTTAGCATGCTGCTCTCTAAATATCCCTGGTGCCCTATTCCATTCCTTTCATTTCAAATGTAACAGTTATGTTTCACTTTTCTTCCACAAAACTAATCCTAGCACTTCCCTGTGGATGCTCAAACTATTCAGAAATAAATATTAACACAGGACACAGACACTCTGAAGTATACGGTGTGATACACATAAAAATGTAAAAATATAAAAGCTCTTTATTGGAGTACTTCAAGATTGTGTCTTCTGAATTTTTACAGTTTTGTTTAGAATCATAGAACACTAAGAGCAGCGCAGATTATCAATCTAATGTACAAGGTTATTAGTCTTCCCAAAAGCGAAAATTGACATTTACAAGTTTCCACAACATATAACTAAGGCCAAGCTATGAAATAGCAGTGATGCAATCATTGACATTACTACATCAATTTTAATAGTCTTTTAACCATCAGGTTTATTAAAAAAAAACTCACCAAGCTCTTTAAATTTGGCATTTGCATCCATCAAAACATTTCGAATATTCTGAACAGCCCAAGCATACAGCTTGCCAAAAGTTACTTCCAGCAGCATTCGATTAAAAGGTGGGATCAAATCGACATCCTTTAAACAATCTGTAAGGGGTTCCCTTTCAAACAAAAGATAAAAAATTTTACTTGGGACACTGGCAGACTTTTAACTTTAATAGAACAATGTTTTGTTGCTACAGCTTCCTTAATTAAGAAAAAAGTTATAAAGTTTTACCCTATATCAATTCCCTCAGGAATAAGTCTTTGCCATCCACAAAACATAGCATACTGCACAGACGGAAGTAAGAAATTTTTGCTTGCCAGTTTTAAAATTGTATCTATCCCTTCCAGGCGAACCTCTGCTCTTTCCAACTGCAAAATATTAATGCACACAGTTAAATGTTGTATATATTACCCAATGAAGAGAAGCACGTTCTCATCAAATTTTACCTGTTTTAGTAGGCACTTTCTCATTTTTTCCACATCCACTGGCTCTTCTTTAAGGGCAAATTCAGCAATTGTACTGAGGAGTGCAGACTGCGGATAAAGGCCCTGAACATTCTGCTTCAACCATTTGTATCTGTGAACACCTGTAACTGTACTCAACAGTGGTTGCCATTTATCCTAACACAGGAAAACAATATTCACAATTAGCCTACCCTATTAATATTAACCTGCACTCTAAAACAGTTATTCAAATATAAATATAAATAAATAATGCCACTGGTTTAAATTGGTAAAATATGTTGAACTTAATAACTTAATATATGGTTTAAAAAACTATGCTACAGATATGCTTATAACTGAATTCATAATCTCTATGCAAATACACTTTCAATCAAGCTAACTTGGCCTACAAAGTTATGGTTCACATTAATAGCTTCAGGGACTAGCAGAGTTTCTGCAACAAAGGATACATTCAATGAATGAATGGTGAATAAATAATGATACAATGTAGTACCAAAATTAAAAAGAAACACTTCTCCAACTATGGCTCTGACCAAGGAAGGCACCATAAGTCAAGTTCATCAGACATCACTGGGGCCTCCCTTTAATAACAACCAACTACCCTAGAGATGTGCAGGTACAAAGGTAGAACACTCATGGATTCCTTTGCTATGTGCTGTGTTTCCAGGCATTCAATCTCAGAATCAAAGAAAATACTGCACCTTGGGCGATTTAATTGTAATGGGTCTTTTGTCCACATTTATCGTACTATGAGGCAAAATGCAAGCTTCTTCTAAATCACTCTCTTCATTTTCAATTTTTTCTTCATCATCAGTGGATTCTGGCTTCTTAGGAACTATGTTTAAAAACATCATTCATTATAAAAATCATTTACTTAAATATATTTTTAAATTAAGAAACACTTATATTTGCGTGAAAGACGAAAATTTTATTCAAAGAAACGTGAACAACATTGTAAACTGCAATGCTCAAACAACGAAAGTAAAAACTATCAAAATTAGTCTCACACAACAGGTACTAATAACACTTGGTCACCCTGTCAGGAACAGGCAGAGGGAGAGTGCGGAAATGGGAAGAAGCCCTCAGGAGGGGAAGCCTAGGAGTCAGCAAGCTTTTCCTAAAAGTGTCAAATAGTAAACATTTGAGTCTTTGCAGGTCATTCAGTCTGTTGCAAATACTCAATTCTGCTGTTGTAGCACAAAAAGTAGCTACAGATGATACCTAAATCAATTGGTATGGCTGTGTTCCAATAAAACTTTATTTATGGATGCTGCAATTTAAACTTCATGTAATTTTTATGTGTCAAAAATATTATTCTTCTTTTGATTTTTTAAAACAATTTGAAACTGCAAAAACCACTCTTAGCCCATGAGCAATACAAAGTAAGCAATAGGTCTCACATGGCCCACAGTCACATGTCCCCTTGTCCACTCAGCTATAGCCCAGTGGTTCTCAGTGCCTAACAGGATCAAATGGATGCCTTCTCTGTTAGCCTCTTCAATTAGAGAAATTTCTATTGAATATGCAATGTGATATGTGGTATTTCTTCCCTATTTCTTTTTATCCCTTTAAAAATTATTGATCTCGGCCGGGCACGGTGGCTCACACCTGTAATCCTAGCTCTCTGGGAGGCCGAGGAGGGCGGATTGTTTGAGCTCAGGAGTTCGAAACCAGCCTGAGCAAGAGAGAGACCCCGTCTCTACTAAAAATTAGAAAGAAATTAATTGGACAACTAAAAATATATAGAAAAAATTAGCCGGGCATGGTGGCGCATGCCTGTAGTCCCAGCTACTCAGGAGGCTGAGGCAGGAGGATCGCTTGAGCCCAGGAGTTTGAGGTTGCTGTGAGCTAGGCTGACGCCACGGCACTCTAGCCTGGGCAACACAGTGAGACTCCGTCTCAAAAAAAAAAAAATTAGTGATCTAAATCTCCTCAGAGCATAATATAAAAAATAAGCAACATGATAAGAAACCTGGGCAATAAAAGGCTAACACAGCAGGCCTGGGTTGCTCAAACCCTGCAAATTCCCAAGAAAGGTCTGTCCTTTCAGGATTGCTCCCTCTTCTAGAAACTGAGCTCTGAGCCCTTGCAACATCTTGCCTGATAAGTGTTTTGGTATACCTGAGCATGGTGACCAAACTGGTGACCATGTGGCACCAGTTTGACTAGATAGTTTATGATAACAATGTGACTTACAGAGATCACCTGTTTTTTGCTCTGGGGCACCGGAATCTAAGTAATTGAGGTCAGTCACGTAGGCACTGCACGCCCATGTGACTGGCCCCCAATAAAAACCTTGGACACCAAGGGTTGGATGACCTGCCCTGATTGACAACTCATCACACATTGTTGCTGAGAGACCTAAGCACGTCCCCACGTGACTCCACTAGGAGGAGATACCAGAAACTTGGGCCTAGTTTCTTTTAAACTTTCCTCCATGCACTCTTCCTTTTGCTAATTTTAATCTGTATCCTGTTTGCAGTAATAAATTGTAACTGTGAGTATAACAGCTCTTCTGAGTCCTGTCTGTGGAGTCCTTCTAGTGAATCATCAAGCCTGAGAGAGGGCTTGGGGACCCCAGACACAACACCAGGAAAACTAATTACTTATACTTCATAAGTTATTTAATTTCCAATAAAAGAAAACCAGCTTCAAACATCACACAATAAATCTACAAATCCAAAACAAGAAACTTTCAAAGGTGACAGTGTGGGCTCAGAATCCATGGACATGAGGTGGCTGGATGGTAGAGGAAGACTGACTCCCTCACACTGGGACAGGCCAGGCTCCTGGGCCTGTGATTTGGCCGAGTTTCCTGGATGCCTGGGTTAAAGGAATCTCAGAAGTGTTATTGTTGTTACTTCCTGATCCAGAGCACTTCTAGGATTCAGACAAGTTATTGTAAGTTAAGGGTTTGTTCAGGAACAATCAATTTGGGATGACTTCTAAAACACATTAGTCTTTTATGACACCATTGTTCCAAATACCCATCAAAAACTCAGTAATTAATTTGTTTATAAGCTGGTAGAATAAATCAGTAGAATTCAAAAGAATATAATCATAAATTTCTGCAGTTTATTTATAATCACAAGTGACTGAACTCTAAAGTATTTTATATATTTTTATTTAAATTTGGATTACTTAATGCAAAAAGTGTTTTTTGTACCCTTACACGGTTATTTTCATGAAAATATCAGTAACTCTTTTGAGTTCCCTTTTATAATAATTCTCCACATATCAGAATACTCAGTATTTCTAAACAAAAAATATTTCTTTACTTTGGGGCTGGGTGCAGTGGCTCATGCCTACAATCCTAGCACTTTGGGAGGCCAAGGTGGGAACATCACTTGAGGCCAGGAGTTGGAGACTAGCCTGGGCAATAGCAAGACTCTGTCTCTACAAAAAATTAAAAAATTAGCTGGGTGAGGTGGAAAACGCCCACAGTCCCAGCTACTCAAGAGGCTGAGCCAGAAGGATCACTCGAGCCCAGGAGTTTGAAGTTGTAGTGAGCTATGATGATGCCACTGCACTCTAACCTGGGCAATAGAGCGAGACCCTGTTTCAAAAAGAAAAAATGGCAAGATTAAATTTTAGTTGAAATGGTCCCATATATCTCATTACCAGGACAACTTATTTTCAAAAAAAAAACTTCCTTTTCCCCAAGAATTTAATAAAGTTTACCTTTTTCAGCATCAATTTACTAGTTACCAAATCATAACACATTCAATTCCTAAGTCACTTCACTATCTGGTATCTTGAAAAATAAGATTTCTGTATTTAATCATAAATACACAAAAAAATAATGACAGTAGGTGGAAGTGACAGATGTAATGACAGTAGCAAAACTCCACTGTGAAATCACAGGTCCAACTATATGGGGCTAAGTACACACTTTATTTTCTATTCTTTTACATTCTTACCTCTCTTTTTCCTTCGTTCTCGAATTATCTTCTGAGCTATTCTCCTCCAACGGGGCAAAGAACTTAACAGTTTAAACTTAGACATTATAGAGAGGTCATTGCAAACAGCAGGTCTCAATTCATTGAAGAGGAATCTCAAACGTTCAATGACAGGAGCACAGACCTCCTTGTAAGAACGGCCCTGTTCTTGGTGAGTCTGCAAAGTTAAATAGAAAAAGACAACTTAACCAACGAATATCTCAGAAACTGCACAGCACAGAAGAAAAAGAATTAAAATCTATTCACCTTAATGAGTGAGCATTTTGCTTGGTAGACAACTCTACACACATCCACCACTGACTTAGGCAATGTTCTGTGCTTTACTTGCTCGATACCAAGAGTACCTGCATGAACTAAAGATAATGCTACATGACCTGTAAAAAGACATTAAAGAAGGGCAGGGTGGGAATGAATATGTATGGCATGTAAGTCAAAGGACCTACAGTATGGCTAAAACACACAGTTATCAAGCTCCATACCTAAATCTTCATGTTTTAAGAGGCAACATAATAGCAAGCGGCCGACCTCTTCCACAGGATGCTCAGGAGGAAAGGTGATTGGCGTGGTCAAGTGGCACTGCCTACAGTACCTTTCAATTTGACACAGAAAGTCCTGCAACAGAAATGGCTGGAGGTAACTTCAGAGCCACCCAGTGAGTCTTCATGAATCCTAAATGTGCCACAGCTTCTGATACACCTGCAATTAACAATGCTTCTAAAGCCTCATTGGCAAGCTGAACAGAACCAGCTTCTCACCTCAAAACCAGCTTCTCACCTCAAAACCAACCCTCCCAAAAATATGTGCAACAAAGTCTGTGCTATGTTAATAAAAGTACATGTAAGTATTCCCATGTCAAATTCCTCAGCTAGACGGAATAATGAGTCAGTAATAGGGGGAGATTTACCTCACCTTCACATTGTGATCCTGGATGTTATTGTCAGCGATGGCCTGCAGGAATGCCTGGGAATGGTCGCCTAGGGCCCATCTGTGGGAACAGAGTCGAGATTTGCTAGCAGGTGTACCCCCAGGAGAGCTGCAGTGGTCCTCGTCTTTCTCTTCGTTGTAGCTGTAATGGATCTGGCTGGTCTGCAGGCCTCCAGAGAAGATAGACGACTGAAGCCACTCTAGAAAATGCACAGGCAAACATTAAAGAGAAACTCAAGTGCACTGCTCAGGAATAAATACAGAAAAAAAGATGCTCAAGTGAATACTTATTTGCAAGGTGAAACTTAGCATCATTCACATGAAAGAGTTACATCTAATATTTACACAGACTGACTTACAATTCCACTATCTATGTTAACACAGGTAACACTTTCTGGTTATTCAACATACCTTAAGCATGGTATCAGACTCAGGACAGTTCCAGCCCAACATTTACTAGATCCCTGCACTCTGCATGGAACTGCCTGGTTCCACAGATACTGTCTGAAGACTGGGATTCCCATTCCAACAGGGAGAGCAGCAGTACAACACCACTCCCACAATCACTCAATTTCAACTGTCAGACTATGCAAGAGAGGACTATAGTGGGCATAAGAGCAAGTGGCAGAAAGACCACCACTATTCTGAAAGTCAGTAAAGCACTTGTCATGGAGACGACAACTGAGCTGAGATCCGGAATAAGAAAAAAAGACTGAGCATCCAGGCAGGGGAACAGCATGCCTGAAGGGTTTCTACAAAGAAAAATATCCCCAGGGTAGGCTACATATTCCTAGAGCATTTATAAAGTAACAAGAATGAGAGAATATTTAACAACACACAATCTTTATTAAAGGATAGATCCTTAGAGATGGGAGATCCAACAGGCTGGAAAGGAGACTTCTGTGGGGTATAGGCTCAGTCAGGTTTGGCAAGAATATGCCATCCATCAGGGTAAATGGGAATGTTATTTATAACTGCTTATGATAACTGAAGGAAAGGCACCAAAAAATAATAGGTGTGTGTATCACTACAGATTTTTATTAATGACTTGTATTATCAAAATATTGCTCCAAAACCCAAGCAATCGTATCTGGAATGTGCTCAGTGTTCTTTTACTGGACATTTAGATTTTAGAGCATTCAGGAGCATTCCCTAAACCACCACATTAATTATTCTAAAACACGAATCTGACTCGACCCTCCCTGGATCTCTCTATTTAAATCACAGGAGAGCCTCTCCTTATCGCTCAAATACAAGCTTCTGATCCCTCCATGGATCAGGCCACACCCACCAGGGCCGAAGCACTTCTGCTCCCTCTACCCTGAAGCTTCCCAGTCCCACCTTCCTTGACCATCTCCGTGAAGCCCATCTTCCCAAGGTACGGCAAGTCTCAAGGAGGAAGGCAGGGCAGCAGCCCCCTCAGAGGGCTCAGAAGGCAGTGCAGCATCCAGTATGTGCCCAAGGGTCTGCAGCTCAGGGGGCTGCACAAGCACTGATGCCATCCTCACCCACTAGCCTGCCCCTGGAAACCCCTGCTCCTCTCAGGAGTGCCCCTCGCATTGCTGTGTTTCTGTCCAGAATGCTCTCACACCCAGTTCCAGGGCTGTTGTCACTGTGAAGCCTTTCTTCCCCCAGAACCACTTATGAGTGTCCCCATTTCATCATTTTTACCACCCTGTATCCCGATCTGCTTAGAACGCTGGCTCATCATCAAACAAGCAGCAGCTGAAGGCAGAGGAGTGCCCTATCCGTCTCTGCGTCCTAAACTCCCAGCATAGTAACTAGCACAAGCAACAACTCAGCAGATGCTTGTTGGACAGATGGATGAACAGACAGATGAGAAATGTACAACTGCATGAAGAAAAATTTAAATCCATTGTACAGGATATGGAGAAACTTCATTATTTTAGGTGATTACAAAGGCTGCCATTCCAAAATATATCTGACTTGCATTTCTCCTCAAACAGAATGCTGTTCCCCAACAGGAATAGCCAATCAACATTCTGTGCAACTTCTGGGCACGCAGGAAGATGACAGCCATGCTGGGCCCATCTGTTAGAGCAGAGGTCCCCAACCTATCCTGAGGTGTATAATTATTTCATTATATATTACAATGTAATAATAATAGCAATAAAGGGCACAATAGTAATGCACTTTGAATCATCCCAAAACTATCCCCCATCCTCTCTGGTCCATGGAAAAATTGTCTTCCACGAAAACAGTCCCTGGTGCCAAAAAGGTTGGGGACCACTATGTTAGAGGATGCAGTAAGTGAGACTAGTCATTCTGCAGACATTCCCACACACACTCTTTAGCTTCCTTTGCAGCCTAGACCATGAGAGCAAATGAAAGCCACTCACAGCTATTTCTAACTAGCTGAGTCTCACTATCCTCACTTTTTGTCATAAACAACTTCATTGATTCTTCTTCCTCTCTTACTCTCAATGGCACTTTATGGTTCAACCAAAATAATCTGCTAATTGATTAGCAGAAGATAAGGTTTTTCTTACTGGCACATTCGACCTCGACAGGAGACAGCGGCGTGCTCACTGCTAAGTAGGAAGCGTGTAACCCAAGGAGCAGGCCCAGATTCCTCTCTGTGTCTATCAGAGGTGAAGAGAGACTTCCCAGATCTGGTATGGTAACAACTTCTTGGTCAGGCTAGAAAAAAAATTTCATCATCGGTCTAAGGAAATGGGGTTAATTAAAAACATAAAACTAAAACTTATGTCCTTAAAATGTACTGCCATGATAAAGACAAGTGGATGTTCTGGGCACCGTGTTCCCGCACCTGTAATAATGAGTTTATAACACTGTGCCCAAGTTAAAAGTAGATACTACAGAAACCCCACCCACCTTATAGAGCAGACAATAAATGCACAGCTCTACTGGTAGAAAAACCAAAGCACAGATAAATGACTTGGACAGGACATTTCTTAGAAAATCAGTTTCCAAAGTGACCGTACACAATGCTTCAGAAAATATAACGAACTGTTATATGCATAAAGAACCCAATGATAAACAAAAATATGGCATGGGCCGGGCGTGGTGGCTCACACCTGTAATCCCAGCACTCTGGGAGGCCGAGGCGGGTGGATTGTTTGAGCTCAGGAGTTCGAGACCAGCCTGAGCAAGAGCGAGACCTCGTCTTACTAAAAAAAATAGAAATTATGTGGACAACTAAAAATATATAGAAAAAATTAGCCAGGCATGGTGGCGCATGCCTGTAGTCCCAGCTACTCGGGAGGTTGAGGCAGTAGGCTCGCTTGAGTCCAGGAGTTTGAGGTTGCTGTGAGCTAGGATGATGCCACGGCACTCTAGCCCGGGCAGCACAGTGAGACTCTGTCTCAAAAAAAAAAAAAAAAAAAATATGGCATGGTAAGTATTAGTTGACAAGTATTAATGAACCATGACCACACATGTGGAGAAAATTATTCTAACAAAAAGCGAACTCACTAAACAAAGAAAGTAAGAGTTAAAATGAAAATACTCTTAAACTTTTCCAGTCACACCTGATAATTTACAAGCAAAGTTAATTTTCCCCATGGTATTTAATGAATTTTATTACTTCTGGATACCTGAATACCTGGAAAGCCAATCCCGATATATAAACTCCAATGCTCATATGTAAGGAAGGACATATTTCTACTGTAAAGAATTACACTTCTATATAATTGTTCCCAAAAAAATATACCTCAAGATAGTAAGCCATTCCAAATTTCTACATAAGCTTATAAGAAAATTGTAAAAACCAAAGTTTAACATCTTTTTTGTGTGGAAGTGTCTATATTTCTTATAAATTAATAATTTTTAAAATAATTTTTTAAGACCAGCACATCATAAGTCTTAAGAATAAATGTAAATTCACTTATGAAACAACTTCTAAAGGATTTTTATTTTTATCGCTAAATGCCCCACAAAGGTCCCAAATATCAGTACTTTAGGGTCAAAATCACCCTATCACAAGCATACAGAAAGGGTCTCCCCTGATGTCCCAGTGCTCTCAGAGCACACAGCCTCACCTCCAAATACTGTCCAACACAAAATGCATGCATTGAATCCCGTGTGTCTTCAAACTGCAAAGCAGCTTCCAAAGCTACCACTGGGTCTTCCCCTGCAAACTGAGCTGAAACAAAAAGGGAAAAAGCAACATGACTTCTATACAATTTGCCTAGAAAGCCATAGCAGAAATGGTGAATAGGAATTAAGTTAGACAGGTTAACTCATAAGCGAGGGTTACCAGAGTATAATGATCTTTCACTCTCTCCCAGGGTTATCTGGGCCAACTCAGAACTTGGAACAAGTTCCAACAAGTATTGGAACAAAAAATGCATAATGATGAGAAATTCTTCAAATATGCCTGAATTTGCTGATAAGATGGACACCAAAGTCAACAGATACATTAAAATGTGTAGGGGCTCGAGCAGAATTAAAGAGATCATTTATTATAAGCCAAATGCTCTGCTTAAAATGATACGTTACAACTTTTAACCATGGAGTGAAAAAATGCAGCCTTACCAAGAATACTATTTCCCGTTAACGACTGTGTCTGGAAGTCCTTTATGTCATACACTTTCCCATCAATCACAGTCCAGAAGCCTCCATCTTTATTGTGGTTCTCCAAATCAGCTTTACGTATAAGCGTCACTTCCTCATTATTTCTACAGTTCTGACCTGTAAAAAATGATTCTGCATATAGAGAAATCAAAATCAATCAATCAATCAATAGATAAAATGAAAACAACAAACTGTGTGAAAGAACTACAAGGAGAAATAGATAAATCCACAATCACAATGGGAGAATAATATACATATGTCTGTAACTAACACCACAAACAAAAACTCAAATGAAAATTCTGTTAATTATACAATGATTTTTGTAAAAAACACTTAATGCAACATGACTATCAAACTGACCATATGCTAGGCCATAGAACAAATCTCAATAGATTTCAAAGAAATGAAGTTATAGAGCGTATGCAATGCAGTTAAACTGGAAATAGGTAACAAAATACACTTCAAAGTAACCCAAAATTCCAAGAAAAAATGACTATGGAAATTAGAAAATGCATTGAAATGAATGATAAAAACACTGTAAATCAAAACTGGTGACAAATAGCTAAATATATGCTTGAGGGCATTTATACCTTTACAGGTATATATTGGGAGGAAAAGCTAGAAAGTAAATAAGTTACTAAACATCAAATCAGTAAAATCTTAGTTCATAATGATACTCAAAAAACAAAAACCTGATTGGGCACCTCTGGAAGTACTAGGACACCAACCCAATATTATGAAAAATAGTGAAAGGGGAGTGGGGGAGAAATCACACATGGATCATGTCCCTCCTGTAAAAATTGTACCTCATGCTAACCAGACAGCAGAGGGCAAAGTTGGTAGGGAATTTTATACAGAACAAACAATACAAGAACAGAACTAAAGGTGGGGGCACAGCATCACAGGCCTCCTGAGCCAACAGAAAGCATACAGCATGACTTCAGACATAACTTGGATCCAACAAAACTAAATCCAAAGACAATCCAATCTCTAGATCTAACCAGCAGATTAGAGAAAATATAACTGATGGAAGAACATGTTGGACTAGAGGAAGAGAATGCAATCAACCAAGTTCAGAAAATGCAAAATTCTCCAGAACAAATGACCTGCTTCTTTGATGAAGAAACAGTATGACCAGATACAGGGAGAGGAGGGCTGGAGCTATGCTGTTGGGGAAAGAGACTAGAAGCACATGTCATTCCAATTCCCACACACAGAAACTTGCTTAGATCCTGACTTGAAATTACCACGGATAAAAAGCATTTTTGAGATAGTCCAGGAAAATTTAACACAGATTGTGTGTTAGATTAAGGAATCACTATTAATCTTATAAATAGGAGAATGATATCATCGTTTTATTTATTTATATTTTTAAAGTTCTTGCTGGGTGAGGTGGTGGACACCTATAGTCCCAGCTACTCAGGAGGCTGAGGCAGGAAGATCACTTGAGCCCATGAATTCAAGACTGTAGCACACTATGATCATGCCTGTGAACAGCTATGGCATTCCAGCCTGGGCAACACAGCAAGACCCCACCTCTAAATAGATAAATAAAGTTCTTATCATTCAGGGGTAAAATGTCTTCAAATGTTTTAAAGAGAGATATATGCTTTAAAATAACCAATCAATCAATCAATAAGAAAAGTATGGGAGGAGGATGTAAATACTTGTTGAAGTTGGTTCTTTATATTATTTTTTCTACTTTTATATATGTTAGAAAATCTTCATAATAAATAGATTACAAAAACATCAGTGTCATAAGCATCCATTTCTCAAAAAGTCAGAAAAATATCAGATTAAATCTTAAGAAAGAAGAAAAGAGATTAAAAAAAAAAAAAAACAGTGTGCTACTGGCATAAAGATAAACATACAGACCAATGCAATAGAACGGAGAGCCCAAAATTAAACCCTCACATATTTGGTCAAATTATTTTTGACAAGGGAACCAAGACCTTTCAATAGGGAAAGAACAGACTTTTCAACAAATGGTGCTAGGAAAACCAGATACACATGTAACAGAATAAAGCTGGACCCTTACCTTGGGCCATATATAAAAATTAACTCAAAATGGATCAAAGATCTAAACATAAGAGCTAAAACTATAAATCTCTTAGAAGAAAACAGAGGAAAAACTTCATGACACAAGACCAGCCTGAGCAAGAGTGAGACCCCCATCTCTACTAAAAATAGAAAACATTAGCCAGCCAACTAAAAATAGAAACAAAAAATTAGCTGGTATTAACTGATCAACACATAAGTGTACATATAACAATAACATCTACTGGATGTTGGGCAGGGGGGAGGGGGAGAGGGAAGGGGTAGGAGGGAAGAGGGAGGAGGGGACGGGTATATGCATACGCAAAGAGTGCAATGCGCACCACCCGAAGAATGGACATATTTGAAACTCGGACTTAGGGGGGGAGGGGGTGGCAAGGGCAACATACGTACCCTAAACATCTGTACCCCTATAACATGCTGAAATAAAAAAAAAAAAAAATGAGCTGGGCATGGTGGCGCACGCCTGTAATCCCAGCTACTTGGGAGGCTGAGGCAGGAGGATGACTTGAGCCCAGGCATTTGACGTTGCTGTGAGCTAGGCTGATGCCATGACACTCTAGCCTAGGCAACAGAGCGAGACTCTGTCTCAAAAAAAAAAAAAAAAAAAACCTTATGACATTTGAAATTTTGGCAATGATTTCTTAGATATGACAACAAAACAAAGTCAACAAAAGAAAAAACACATAAGTTGGACTTTATCAAAATCAAATACTTTTGTGCATCCAAGGTCACTATCACGAGTGAAAAGACAACCCACAGAACGTGACAAAATATTTGCAAATCTTGTATATCCAGAATATATACAGAACTCCTATAACTTGACAACAAAAACACCATCCAATTCAAAAACAGGCAAAGGACTTGAATAGACATTTCTCCAAAGAAAGTATGCAAACAACTAATAAGCACATGAAAAGATCCTCAACATCACTAATCATTAGGGACATGCAAAACAGAACCACAATGAGATACCACCTCATATCCATTAGGACTGCTACTATAACAAAAAACAGAAAATAAGTGTTGATAAGGGTATGAACTAATTGGAACCCTTGTGCATTGCTGGTGGCAATGTAAAATGGTGCAGCTGCTATAGAAAACAGTATGGTGGTTCCCCAAAAAATTAAACATAAAATTACCACATAATCTACCAGTTTTACTTCTGGCTATATACTCAACAGAAGTAAAGCAGGGACTTGAACAGATATTTGTGCACTCATGTTCACAGCAGCATCATTCACAGTAGCCAAAAGGCAGAAGCAGCCCAAGTGCCCACTGACAGATGAACGGATAAACAAAATGATATATACATATAATAGAACATTATTTAGTCTTAAAAGAAGGAGACGTGGACACATCCTACAACATGGATGAACCTTGAAGACATGCTAATTGAAATAAGCCACTCACAAAAGGACAAATACTGTATAATTCCACTTATATGAGGTGCCTAGAGTAGTCAAATTCATAGAGACAAAAAGTGGAATGGTGGTTGCCAGGGGCTGGGGTAGGGGAGAATGGGGAATTATTGTTTAATGCTGTGGTCCCCAATCCCCAGGCTGCGGCCTGTTACCAGTCAGTGGCCGGTTAGGAAACAGGCCATGCATCACTGCCTGAGCTCTGCACCACAGCACCCCCACCCAGGACACCCCACCCCCGCATCCCCAGTATGTGGAAAAATTGTCTTCCATGAAACCAGCCCCTGGTGCCAAAAAGGTTAGGGACTGATGGTTTAATGGGCACAGAGTTTCAGTTGGGCAAGATGAAAAAGTTCTAGAGATGAATGGTGGTGGTGATGGTTGTACAACATGAATGTACTTAATGCCCCTGAACTGTACACTTAAAAATGGTTAAAATGGTAAATTTTGTTATGTATATTTTACCACAATTTTTTTTAAAAGTTGGGTTCCCACTCTACCCCACCCCTGTCCACCACATTGTTCACAAAGAAAATCACAGGCCAAGATGATTACATGGCAAATTCTAACAATCTTACACAAATGCTTCCAAGAAAACAAGAGGAAAAAACATTCTCCAACTTACTCGATAGGACTGGCACAACCTTGGTTACAAAAACCTGAAAGTCTCTTATGTTTTCCTGCTATCAGATCCATCAGCTAGTTTCCCCCCAGACTAGCTAACATTCTTAGGTGGAAAGACTGTATGTAAATAGAAATTAATAAGGGTTGCATAGGAGCTACCCTCTTCCTGAATTACAGCTTCATTGTTAGCAAAGGGGTGGTGGTTATCAACAAAACTTGTAGGGCATTACAAGAAAAGTACAGGTTATAGAAAAAATTACAAGGAAAATGACCAACACAAATGCAAAATTGTTTAAAAAAATAGCAAACCAAGACTAGCAATATATTAAATAACCAATATATTATGACCAAGGTAGTTTTATTCCACAAATGGAAGGCTGATTTACCATTTAAAAAGTCAATAATTCACACATTAATGGAAAAAAAGAAAAATTACATGTCATCAAGAAATGCAGAAAAATCATTTGATAAAATTAAACATCCAATCACAATTGAAACCACATCACAAAGTAGAAATAGAAGGAAACATCCTTAATATTCAAAAATACCTAGGAAGAGAGCCCTACAACAAATATCACCCTTCATGTGTGAAATCCGAAAAGCTTTTCCTCTGCTACTAGGAAAAAGATAAAGATACGCACTAGAGGTCCTAGCAAGTGCAGTAAGAGGGAAAAGGCTGTAAGATCAAGACAGACGCTGGTACAGTCGATCTACACAAAGGCATCACTCCAGAAGAGTGACCAAGCACAGTCCTTTCACCCAAAGGTGCTGGCACAAGGACTCTACGGACAAAATGCCTATGGGAAAAAATGGCATGGGACGCCTACCTGATAACATACACAAAAATCAAGTCCAAGTGTACTGTAGTGTTAAATGTGAAAGTTAATACAATAAAACTAGTGAAATATAATACGGAAGAAAATTTGAGTAGGGAAAAGATTTTTTAAGGCCCAAAATGAACCACCGTAAAAAGGTTAACAAAATGGATTTCATTAATATTAACTGATCTCTGTTCATCAGAAAACAATATTAAGAGACTGTACAGGCCAGAATAAAAGAAAAATCTCTCTACAAGAAATAGAGCTGAAGGCTTATACCCCAAATATACAATAACATTCCTATGAATCATTAAAAAAGAAAAAAGACAACCCAACAGAAAAATGGTTATAAGACTTGAACTGGCATTTCACAAAAGAGAAGAGCCAACTGCTTAACACACATATGAAAAGCGATTAAACCTCAGTAATAATCAAGAAAATGCTCACTGAAACCACAATGAGATACCAGTGTACATCCACTAGAATGGCTAAAACAGGAAGTACCAATAATGTCAGGTCTTGGTGTGGATCAGTGAGAATTCTCACACTTTGTCGTGGAGAAGAACATCAGCACACTCACTGTGGAAAACTGGCATTCTGTATTGAAGCATCCTCTACAAAGAATCAATTCCACCAAGAAACAGACATAAGAATGTTTAAAGCCATGTATTTACTCTAATCTAAAGCTGGAAACAACTGGTATTTCCACCAAAAGCAGAATGAATAAATTGTGGTGTATTCAAATAGCGATTACTACATACATAGCAACAAAAGTGAAAGAACTCAGTCACAGGACGAACCTCAGAAACCTAATGTTGAGGAGAAGAAGCCAGACACCAATGGGTACATACTGCGTAATTCCACTTATATGGCTGTTGAGAGACACTCGCTTAGTATAACATGACCAGGAGAAGTAAGGTGGTGACAACCACACAGACTGAAGAGGGACACCTTTCAGGGAGATAGAGGCGTAGTTCTGGAAAGGTCCTGCCAAGATCTATTTCTTAGACTGGATGGAGAACCCAGTTTTCTTTGTGATCAGTCACAAAGATGCGCTGGGTACTTTTGTGTCTGTGTTATATTTCACAATTAAAAAAGGATTTTAAAATAAGTAAACTGCTAATCCAATTAATTCCCTCAATCATATTTAGTATAGAGACAAAAATAATAAACAACCATTTAAGTTCATTCCTGAACAAAAAGATAAGAATGGTGCCAAAAGTATTAACTATTAAAAAATTTTAAACTATGTTAAATATCCTAAGACTATTTTCCTCAGGACAACGGCTACCTCTTGTTTTAAGCTTTCATGTTATAAAGATGATGGTCTAAAATAGGAGAAGAAAAAGCCCACCTAGCTGAAGTTTTTATATAAAATAAAAGTTTAACCACTACTTTGATTAATTCTGAGTCCAGAAAACAAGAATCATACATGATGGTGACTTAGATTAAAAAATGCCCAAGCTCAAAATTTTGAGAAGATAAGTTTCATTTCAATTTGGCATGCAATACAGACAATGCCTACAGGGAAGTGCTCAGCTGACTCCAGGAGTTCCTTTTCTCATTAACGTCAAATAACAAAGATGACTCTGGAAAGTCTTTCCATATCAATTTCTGCCTCCTGAGCTGACTATATATATAACCACCTCAATAGTTGCTTCTGGAGGCACCTCCCAGGAAAGGATTTTCCAGAACTTTCTAAAATGTGCATTTCAGGATTTAACAATTACTAAAGGAAATATCTTCCTTAAACATAATCCAAATATCTCCTGAATTGGATTATCTTCATTTTCCACTTACACTACCATCAATGGAAATGGCAAATAATTGGTCTTTCTTTGTAAAATGTTCTTTCAAATGGAAAGGCAAGAATAGGTTAGACAAGGACAAAACTTTCCTCAGTAAAAGTCCTTTAAGTTAAGATGCCATACCCATTATGCCAGGCCAGGCTAACTCTTCATGATCATCTCGTTCCTTTCCTGGTGCAAGGTGGTTGAACCGGTCCAGGTGTTCTAACAGGCCACCCAGCAGAGGAACAGCTCCAGCTTCTTGCATAAGACCAGCATTTTTACTGAGCAGAAGCACTATAGAAACTACTAGTTCTGGAAGGAGAACACCTAGATTTAAAAAGAAAAAAAAATAAGATTTAAGTAAAAGTGTTTATGCTACAAAAGCAATTTATATTCTAACTTTCCTCTATGTTTAAATTCTGATAAGTTACAAAATAAGAAATGCGTGTCCATTAGCATACCTCTAGAGGATTACTTTCTTTTATTCTGAAAGAGACAGGTATAGCTATCAAACAAAACCCTTCTGAGTTACAGAAATATTTTCCAAAAACAGTATGTTTCAATCACAGAACTATGAACTGTAGTCTTTTATTCAGAAAACTAAATGTCTACTGCAATGTTTACCATCAGAAAAAAGCACTTAAAAATAATGCTCTAACCTCAAAAAATTAACTTTAGAAAATATTAGGGAACATTGGAATTTATTAAGGTCCTGAAAGGGGCAACTAATTTTTATGCCATCAAAATAAAATTAGACAATTACACTTGATCTCATTATTGAAGTATTAATAATGGAGGTATAAATCTAAATCACCAATTATATTTACAGTTATATGAGTCCCATACCAGGTGACAAACAGAATTGCCAGTAACTAACAAAACCAAAGGAGAAAAGGGCAGAAGGACTAAAAAATTTATACAGTAAATGCAGTTTTATTAGGAAAGAATACATTTCAGCTTTCATCAGTCTCCTGAAATAAACATAAGCCCACAGGCAGGAAACAAGAAAGGTACCCGTGAAGTCCCCTTCCAAGATGCAAGCCACCTCTGCAAAGTGCCGCCAGCTAGTAGAAGCAACGCTAGCTGCCACAGGCAGTATATCACCAATGTGTGTGCACAGAAGGGCTGTGTACTTCTTCAGCAAGGAGCCAACGCCCATCAGCTCAGGGCCTTGAAGAAAGATTGTAGAAAATTTCATTTTCACTATTAAAAATTTATTCTGTAAACTGACTGCTCCACTATTCCCCTCTCCTCCCTCTATATACCTTTTACCTATAATAATTTTCTCAACTAGGAGCCTATTAACCCTTAGTTCTTGGCTCTTATATCACATAACTTGAAAAACAGTGAATTTGATTATGTTGCATTTTATAACCAGAACTATATACGTAGTACCTAGTAACTCTGGGTGTATAAATACAAAAGTTGTAATTTATAGGGTTTTTTTTTTTTTTAAGAGATGCGGTCTTGCTAGGATACCCAAGTTAGATGTGAACTCCTGGGCTCAAGAGATCCTCCTGCCTCCTAAGTAGCTAGGACTACAGGCATGCACCGCCACAGCCAGCTCTAAATTTTTAAAACTTTATATCCAGTATACGAATGTTTATCTTCTTAAAGTTTATAAATTATCCCCAATAAACAAAGCTAAGCATTTTTCAGTCTCATAAAATCTTCAATTTTTCTGCCTACGTGGTTCTCAGTAATAATAGCTTTTCAGTTCCTTTTGACTTTAGTCTTCAAAATGGTCACCTCTTTCAAACTATAAATTTACCTATTTAAATCTGAAAGTTTCAATCATTGACAAGTACCTAACTCTTTTCAGGAGGTAAATAAGTTATTTTAGGAAAAACTAGCTACAAAAATATTAACAAAGGCAGCAGAACTTCCCATTTTTGGCAGAGAAAGCTCCCTCATGGAGAGCCAGCCACTGCTGTGGTGCTTGTGGAAAGGCACCACTCCCTCTACGGTGCATGCGCAGCACTGACCACTTACACACTGCCCTATTTTGATCCTCACAGGCTTCTCTCAGGGATTATTCCAATTCTACAGGTGAGAAATCTTTGGCCCCAGGAGACTTAGTCCAATGTCTAACAGCTATTAACCGAATCTATAACTGAAACCCAGTCTTCCTTCAACGACAACAATCCTTCCCACTACCCCCAGCTGGCTCCCCAGTGTGACATATGAAGTCTGTCACTGTTTAGCTCCCACATCATGTTAGTCTCTAACATTCCATACCTAACACATGGAGCAAATCTGACAAATCCTCTGTAACACCAAACTGAGTATATAGAATCCCATTTCTGATGTCTAAAGAATTTAAATGTTAAGACAATGAAATTAAAAATACTGATGAGTCTAAGATAGAAATACTTGACAAAAAAAATGTATACAAAATGAAGCCCCAAATTCAATGCATTTAACAGTATAAGAACTACACATCCGGGCATAAATAACAAACACATCAAAAATTTTATTAGGTTGATGCAAAAGTAATTGCAGTTTTAGTATTGTTGAAATTTGCCATTTGATATTGGAATGCACTCTTAAACAAATGTGGTTGTGTATATATATCATTTTAATGCATAGCTCTCACTTTATGTTTTTTTGTTAATGACTTATTACTCGCTGTTTATTTTATATTGATTTTAGACTACGGAAATGATGTTAGACTAAAGAAGTGGAGACAACTCGCAACATCAACAATGCATTTGGCCCAGGAACTGCTAACAAACATACAGTGCAGTGGTGGTTCAAGAAGTTTTGCAAAAGAGACAAGAGCCTTGAAGATGAGAAGTGCAGTGGCTGGCCATCGGAAGTTGACAACGACCATTTGAGAGCAATCATCGAAGCTGATTCTCTTTAAACTACACAAGAAGTTGCCGAAGAGCTCAGCGTCGACCATTCTACAGTTGTTTGACATTTGAAGCAAATTGGAAAGGTGAAAAAGCTCGATAAGTGGGTGCATCATGAGATGACCAAAAATCAAAAAAATCATCGTTTTGAAGTGTCATCTTCTCTGCTTATACAAAACAACAAACCGTTTTTTGATCAGATTGTAACATGAGATCAAAAGTGGATTTTATATACGGCAACCAGCAATGACCAGCTCAGTGGTTGGACCAAGAAGCAGCTTCAAAGCACTTCCCAAAGCCAAACTTGCACCAAAAAAAGGTCATGGTCACTGTTTGGTGGTCTGCTCCTGGTCTGAGCCACTCCGGCTTTCTGAATCCCAGCAAAACCATTCTGTTTGAGAAGTAGGCTCAGCAAATCGATGAGATGCACCAAAAACTACAACACCTACGGCCAGCATTGGTCAACAAAAAGTGCCCAATTCTTCTCTACAACAAAGTCTAACGACATGTTGCACAACCAATGCTTCAAAAGTTGAACAAATTGGGCTACGAAGTTTTGCCTTATCCACCACATTCACCTGACCTCTTGCCAACCAACTACCATTTCTTTAAGCATCTCAACAACTTTTTGCAGGGAAAATACTTCCACAACCAGCAGGATGCAGAAAATGCTTTCCAAGAGTTTGTCGAATCCTGAAGCACGGATTTTTACACTACAGGAATAAACAAACTTATTTCTCATTGGCAAAAATGTGTTGACTGTAATGGTTCCTACTTTGATTAATAAAAATATATTTGAGCCTAGTTATGATTTAAAATTCACAGTCCAAAATCACACAATTACTTTTGTACCAACCAAATAAATAAAAAGCCCAAATACATAGAAAACACACATTTTAAGCAACTTACTAGAAATATCTGAAGTCTGAGCAATACTTTCTCCTGGATACAGTTTACTGATAAGTAAACGCTGAAAACGCAGTAACAAATCCAATGAAGCAGATCTTTCACGACTATGTTGCTCAAAGTCCAGACACGATGAAATCCGACGAGCAACGTCTTTTAATCTGGCTACAGTCTGAGAAGCAATGTTTCTATGCAAGAAAAAGATGATTGCAAAATTAAACGAGTTATTTCTATTAAAAAGACAAGAGGCAGAGGGTAAATCATAACATAAACTAGTATCACAGGTCATACATGTAGGTGACCTGCAGCTGGCTTCACTCCTCTAATGTGTGTCAGGTGTTTCTGCAATAAGCATAGGTTCAGTCAAAATCGCACAGGGGAACATGGAAGAAAAGATGCCCCCGTGCTTTATAAATGTGTTCCTATGAAGCTGTATGGAATGGTCCAAAATGATAGAGGATCTTGCTTAAAAAGAAATACTTCTGAACAAACCTCTAAAAGGAAAAACAATTATGTCATTATTTTCTGTCCAAAGCTACATTTCAAATATAAACATGATACTATTCTTAAAGACAAGACCTGCCTGCGTTGCTGCATCTGCCTTACAAGTCTACCTTGAGCACTTACTTGAGGGCAGCACTGGGATGGGCCATTCAGGCAGTACCCCAGGCTTAGGGAGTACAGGAAGGAAGACTAAAGTAGGTACGAACAGCCCCAGGTCAGGATAACAATGCCCAAAGAACATGGCAGCCAACAAAAGAGTACAGGCTTCAACTCCAACTGTGCGATGTGATTTGAGTCAATGAATCATCAGTAGATGTGGAGAAAGGAGAAGAAACACAAGTTCCCAGAAGGTACTATGAGAAAAACGGTGAAAGTCCTGGTTCCTCGAGCAGAATGCAAGGGAACAAGGGCAGGGAGAACAAGACAAGGAAGCAGGGAGGGCACAGAGTGCCCTTGTCCTCAGAGGCTCTGGGACTAGCTTCTGCAATGCTGAGCCACTGAGGTTAGGAAAAGAAAATGACATCTTGTCTATGTTTAAGTAAGGTAATTCTTATGTCAGTGTGAAAGCAGATTAGAGGGGTAGGGGAACACCTGATAAAACCCTGCCACACAAGAACAGTCCCAGCCCCAGGGAAACCAGGCCTGATCAGGTACTGAGAATGCAAAGGAGGGACTAGGTTATAGGAGGTAGAAAGCTGGCAGAGGGGAGAAGAACTAAAGCAGGGCCTGATTCCAGATCCATCCCACCAGCCCTGTCCAGCCACGTGTGCAAGTGGCCAGGCTGGCCTATACCTGGCACTGCCACGAAAAGGCCAGCCTGGGGATCTCTGCGCAACACCAAGGGCAAGGGCATGTTCTTTACCCCACTTCTTTGATTCCTAACGTGATAGCAGGTTTGTTGAGAACTGTCAATTGCACTAGCCCCTACGGCTCCCACTAGGAAATCACCAGCAGTAAGGACAGGAGAGGAGACAGAGGAGGCGGTGGTCAGGAGTTCCACAGCAACTCAAGTTGCACCCACGGGCTCGCTAAGAAGGAACTGCACCTTGCCCTGGCCCCACACAGCAAAGACATGCACTGGACTTTCCACTACTATCCAACCTCACCTTCCAGCTTCGCTACCCAATAACATGCCCTGGTGACAACATCGTAACAGAAGAAACAGGTCTAGAATCTGGTATTTACCCTATGCCCGAAGGAGCAAAAGACAGTAATACAATAAAAATTTTAACTTATTTCCTTGGTATAAAATTGAGAGCCATAATCAAAATGTGTAATTTTGATGGGGTTCACTAATTACAAAAACTGCATTAGCTCTTTATTTTCAAATATAAATGATACTTTGTGGCTCCTCACCAACATAAGACTAAAAAGTCACTCTCAAATCTGTTTCATGGCTTATTTTTAGCAACCAACAATTTATTCAACCCAAGTTTTCCAAGGAAAAAAAGACACAAGATGTCTCCAAAATCCCTTATATCTTTAGACTATTTTTTAACAACTGCATCAGCCAAGTCAACACATCAAGTATCCTTCGATCACCAACACTTAAGAAAATAATGTCTATCTATGTAAGGAGAGGGACACATCATCTATGTTTATGAAATTAATAGATGAAATTATGGATTATAGGTGTACTGTTAGTGAAAAAGCTGTAAATGCAATTTTATGTTTCTATTTTCCAAAATTTTTGTGAGGCAGTATTTATTATTTCTATGCTTAAATTTTTGTTTTATAATTTTTAAATAGGTTCCTGTTTATTATAAATCTGCAGTGGAACCCATGTGCCATACAGGACCCAACATGCCACAGGGTCCAAAAAGACACATTTGGTGAAGACGAAGACACAGAAGATGAAACATGTAGATGGCACAAAGCTGTGCTGTCCAGCAGAGAGGACACCAGTGGAGCCATCACATTAATAAAAGAAAAAACATAAAATTAATTAATTATAATAATGTATTACATTTACATTGAAAATATTTCCATTTCAACATGAAACCAACAGAAGAAAAATTATTGAGATATTTTACATTGGCTTTTCATTTTGAGTCTTCAAAAGCCATCGTGTATCTTACATATACAGCACATTTCAATTCAAACAGTTAAACTTGCACTGAAAATACTTGATCTGCACTTAAATTCATAAAATATGCAGTTGAAAAAGGAGATTCATGTGGTCAAATTATTCCAAACATACTTAAAAGTTTTCTAATAACTGATTCAAGTTTTTTAATTTGCATTTTAATTAATAAAAATTAAACAGATAAAACAGTCAGTGTTTCCACTACACTGGACACATTTCAAGTGCTAAACAGCCGACTGTGTGAGTGCTAACCAGACTGGACAGCGCAGGCCTACACAGCCGCAGGTAAACAGACGGTCTCCGGGTGCCGCAGGAACTGCCTGAACAAGGAGATGAGGAAAATGGGCCCTCCCCTATGAGAAGAAGTGACCGATGACAGGAACCCCAGGAACCCAGCACTCGCTCTCTGTTAGGGACACCAACAGCCCAGCACACAGCCTCCTCAGTGAAGGGAGGGGCATTCAACAATTCAGAAAAGAACTTCTGGAAAATACTCACTTTAAAACTTATGCATAGAACTTTACATTTTAATTACAAAGCCATTTAACATTCATGTTCTCATTCAACCCTTAATTAACTCCATGAAAGTAAACATGACTCTTATTCTTACTCCTATAGCTACTGTGCTGGGTGGAGGTTCGCCTGCCAAGTTTACGCAAGTAATCACAACTGAAATTTTCTAAAATGAATAGCAAGTTCTTTCCACTATCACTGACTATACTGAGTCCAATTCTCTTTATTTCAGTTTCTTAAATTAAAGATCAGAATGTTTGCAATATCGATCAAGGGAAACAAACATGAGATTTGAAAAACAAAATTCAGAAAAAGATTTTCCAAAATAATGTTTACTAAACTCTATGATAGGAACTAGCTCTAAAACTTCCTTTTTCAAAATTTCACCATGTGCCCACTTAATTCTGGTTTCTCTGGCTGTGTAGAGCAGACCTGCCACATGCCCACGCACAACACGGCTGAGAGCTGCAGCCCTGCCCAGAGCCTCCTGCTCTGTGCTTGGCAGCGGGAGGCAGTAGTAGAAAAAGCCACTACTTTCTCTATGTGTAGAAACTAAAACAAACCAAGGAGCGCAAGGTTACAGAAAGCAGAGTTTTTTTAAATAGAGGTGCAATCATTTTTCATTTCTAACAAAGCCCTTATATCAGCAGTCCCCAACCTTTGTGGCACCAGGGACCAGTTTCATAGAATACAATTTTCCCATGGAGGGGCTGAGCAGAGCTCAGGCGGTGATGCAAACAATGGGGAGCAGCCGTAAACAGTAAATACACTTGCTCACACCTCTCCCCGCCAAGTTTCATGGAAGACAATTTTTCTACAGATTGGAGGTGGTCGGGGGTAGCAGGGGTGGTGAAGCTCTGTGGCCCAGTCCCTAACACCTAACAGGCCATGGACCAGTACCAGTCCTTGGCCTGGGGGTTGGGGGCCAAAGCCTTACACAAATCCCTTTCACTTTGTTTCTTTGCTCTTTTTGAATGACCTTTTATAACAAACAGTGTCTCTGGCCTTTGCCAAGGTCAGCCTCTGATTTATTCTTACCTCCTCCTGATTTGGTCTTCCAAAATAACACTCATCATTCTTTCATTTTCTTTAGTTTTTAAATTAAAAATTGTATTAAAAAGTAATATATATAAATCTATAACATATATGAATAAAATGAGGCCATGATACAACCGTTTAAAAAAATAACCTTACCGCAATGATTTTCACTTCCATCTACCTGTTTATTAATGAGGATGAGAATTTTTTTTTTTTTGAGACAGAGTCTGGCTCTGTTGCCCTGGCTAGAGTGCCGTGGCATCAGCCTAGCTCACGGCAACCTCAAACTCCTGGGCTCAAGCGATCCTTCTGCCTCAGCCTCCCAAGTAGCTGGGACTACAGGCGTGTGCCACCACACCCAGCTAGTTTTTTCTATATATATATTTTTAGTTGTCCAGATAATTTCTTTCTATTTTTAGTAGAGACGGGGTCTCGCTCTTGCTCAGGCTGGTCTCGAACTCCTGACCTTGAGCGATCCACCCGCCTCGGCCTCCCAGAGTGCTAGGATTACAGGCATGAACCACCACGCCCGGCTGAGAATCTTTTTATATTTTCATTGCACACTTCAATTCTTTAATTTCTCTTCCATGAAAATCTTTAGAATCTACTCACACACTCCAACCTCTCCACTGACCTGTATTTCTAAAAGTCTGCTCTTTACCCTAAAGCCTATCCTCAGTAATTCTCAGAATATTTCTTGAACAGCCAAATACATTTGTGAGACCCTCCTGTTACATTTCACTATCTTAATATGAAAACCACTAATTACCTATTAAAATTTAATACCGCTAATACTATTTACCTAAGAAGCTGCTGTATGAGCTGAACCAGGGGCAAACACTGTTTACCAGAAGATTCATAGATCCCAGTATTAATAAGGTCTTTATCCAATGGAGTCCTACTTCTGTGAAATGTTGAGGCATTCGCTTCCTGTTCATCAATTTCTTTTTCCTTCTGTGCTTCTTTTTTGGCTTCAATATCCTGTAATTCGTAAGACAGAAACTGGTTACAGAGATCTCATCAGCAAGTGTGCAGGCTCACTGGGCTGGGCCCTGACCCCAATGCCTAGCTGTCCTAGCCTCGTGACCACATACCCACCCACCAACACTGGCCCCCATCCTCCGTTGGAAACCCCACTGCTCACGTGCTCAGTTTCTAAACAGACTATTCTTCTTTTGGATCCAATGTCCAGTCTGCTTCTGTGAAGTCCCTAAAATCTTTATCCCTGCTACTGGCTCTCACAAACACCCAATGTAATCTGCCTCCCACACACGGAGTCTATCACTCTGGTGATAGAACACACACTGGTTCACATGCAAACAGCAAAGCCACTCTGAGAAACTGTAAACACACACTAACCCTAGGACCCAGCAAATTTCACTACAAAATATTTACCCAAGGGGAAAATATATGTCCACTAAAGGACCTGTACATAACATGATCATAGCAGCTCTATATAGTCAAAACCAGAAACAATCAAATGTGCTTCAATAGGAGAATGGAAAAACAAATAGTGCTATAACCGTACAATGAAATATTTCTCAACAATAAAAACAAAGTCACAATACATGCAACAACGTGAATGAATCTGAAAACCATTATCTGAGGCAAAAGAAAAGCAGACTCGAAAGAGTATACGCTATATGGCTCCATTTACGTGACATTTAGAGTGGGCAAAATTACTCTAATCTGAGGGGACGAGGGAACATCCTGAGTGCCAAGAGTACAAGGATCTTTCTGGGTGATGGGAATGATCTATATGATGACAAGGGCATCTGTCAAATTCACTGAAATAGACACTTTCAAGTGGAAGCTTTTTATTAACTTAAATAATACCTCAATGATTTTTTAAATTAGTAAGATAAAATAGTTTTAATTTAAAAAAAAAATACTTACGTGACTGAAAGTTTTGTGTTTTAGTTTTTTCAGTAATTCTGGCAATAGGTTATTTCTTTGTGTGTGAGTACGGTGTTTTCAATCTCAGCTCACTGCCAGACAGCAATACCATGTCGGCTCATGTGAGCGCCTAGGGCCATACCTGGATCTCTGCAGTGATGGCTGCATTTAAGGCCGACTCTAACCCTCCATCAGCCATCAAGCTGCCCACCAGAAGATCAATCATGAATCGACGACCTGGACTTATGTTCACCTCATTGCCTGAAACTGCAAAAGGAAAAGTGTTTTTGCCAATTTGATTGAAGCGCCATTCCCTCCTGGCACCCCCACCTGTGCCCACTCCTACTTCCCACCCAAGCCCACCTGCACAGGGCAGAAGAGCAGAGAGTGCCCGGGCCCGTTCCTCAGCAGTGGGCAGCAACACAGACCAGCCGCTCTGCAGCACGGCCTGAGCAGCCGACTGCACAGTACTCAGCACACCCGCGCTGCTGGCCAGGGTCACCACGGTCTGCTTCAGGCTGTTCAGGAGGACGCTGCCCAGACCTAAACCAAGGAATTCCGGGTCAACCTGGTGACTAATGGCAGCATGCAACTGAAAGGAGAAAAACAATCTTTACTTAGAACCTATAAAAATGAATGAATTTCAAAATCTTATTAAAGACTGAATAAAACTCAATTTGAAGTATTTTTTAAATAAACAAAATAATTTCTCAGTATATGTATTTTTAAAAATTGAACTAAAAAAAATCTTACCCACAGTTGCTGAGAATCTATTTTAAGGTATTTTATAAGAGGAATTTTTTTTAACCCAGCTATGAATACATACATGGAAAAGCTCAAGACCAAAAGAGAGGGCTAAACGATGTAGAAGCAACAACCTCTACCCCACCCCTGACAATCTGCACCAAACATAGGGAAATAATGGATATAGTAAAACCAGAAAAGCTGTTAAAAATTAGATAGCCAAGCCAAGAGTATATAAGAAAACTCCTCAAGGGCAAAACCAGAACCCCAGGTGGACACACACAGCAAGAAGCAAGAGGTTCTGGGCTCTGAAAGCTGGGCCAAGCCTCTGGGCTTCAGGCCAACCTCTCACAGGAGAATGGGGCAGCTCCTCAATCGCCCACAACAACCCACTGAACCTGAGCTTCCTGCAGAAGACTGGGAGCCATTCAGGAACACCTGCCTGTCAGCCAACCACAGCCAGAGGGCAACATGCTGCTCATACCAGGCTTTGGCTAGAAAAAGACCCCACAAGAAATCAGAGACCAGCCTGTGAGCAGATATGAAATCAAATGTACGCTGATCATGTAGGTACAGATATCACACGTCAAGAAATGAACACCAAAACTCATCTAGAGCCTGTGAAACCCAAAGAACCCGGGAGAGGTGAATACAAAACTGACCTCTGGGAACATCTCGACAGCCTAAGACATATTCAAGGTCAGTCTCCACAGCACTGACCCAAACAGCAACAGCACCGCAAACCACAGAGAGAGAAAAACTGGGCACATCCACAGAAAAGACATGACATCACAGGTGTTGCTAACAAATGAGCTGCCACAGAAGACTTTGGAAGAAGATAAATATGCTCCAAACCTCTAATTACTGCAGTGAACATTACATTCAGTTCTGTGCTTTCTAGAAGCCAAGACCAAAAAGGGAAGGGGATGAAAAAGGGACGTGATGTTATGTTACACAGAAATCATTGTGTAATAAAAGGGAAAAATTACGTCATCCAGAAAAACTGTGTTGTCATAAAGTTATAGGATTTTTATTACAAATAAAAATATAATGACCAAAGATTTCAGTTATAGCTTTACCAGGGAGAGAGGGAGGAAGATTTCTGTAGCTTTTATTTTGACGCTTAACCCGAACCTCCACTGTGAGGCAGTGAAGGTATTGCTGCAGGGAGCTGAGCTCACTGAACAGAGTTTTCATAGCCCAGAGAGACAGGCTAGTGCTGGTCTCTCAGCTGAGCTCCATCTCTCTCTCAATCATTTGCTGTCTCACCCAGTCATTTCTCCATACACAAAAATAGTAAATCCAAGACTGCCTGTCCCAATGAATGCCAACAAGCTGAAATAACAATAGAAATAACACAATCCACACACTCTTACCTGCATGCAGAGACTGACTTCCAGGATAAACAAAACAACCAGATTGAGACTTTTAGGCCTCACACACATTACTCTATCATAATCTTACTTTAAAATACTTCAGTTTTTCATTAGCAGTTTACCTAACAGGTTAGAACTCATACCCTTCATTATGCATAAACATTCTTACAAATCCCTAATACACTTATAAAAGGAGCAGGAGGAAGGGAAATCAACACCACCTGAAGACGTAGAAGATTCAGCGTGGCCACCGCCATGCACTCTTTCTCCTGGGGTGGGGGCCAGTCAGCGGTGCCATCCATTCCCTCACTCACTTGCCGCAGTAGGAGATCCAGCTGTTCAAAAGTCATTGAGCAGATGTCCACCACAAAGGGGACACGGAGACCAATGGACCACTCGGAACAAGATGACCAAGCAAAGCTCTACAGAGGAAACAGAAGAACCTAAAATGAACCTCCAAATTCAGCTGTTGATCTGTTCCACAGGAGAGATTCATCACTATGTATGATGAACATGACTCAAATTATTACTTATCCTCCCTCTAATTGCCCAAGTGCCTATGTACTTCCATGGTTGTCTAGCTCACATACTCATACAATCAGCTTTCAATTTTCTCTCCCATTTCACTAGCCCCATTTCATTTTGCCACACCTAAAAAAGTAAAAAGGTTTTACAAAGTCTTTTCACTCTCAAAATTATGAATGCATATTAATGGATAGCAGTGAGGATCTCGATCCACTTGAAGTGGTACAGTAGTAACTCTAAGTAGACAATGAAATGTTAGATATTGATATATATACACTACCTTCCTAGTAAGTGAGAGAACAAGTAATCAGCAAGGATCTAGAAGAACTATACAATACCATCAATAAACTGGATTTAACTGACATTTATAGAACATTTCCACCCAACAACAAAATGCTTACTTTTTAAGCACACAGAGGACGTTCACTAAGATAAAACACATCCTGAGACATAAAACCAATCTGAACAAACTTAAAAGAAGTAAAATCACACTGTTTGTTCTCTGACCACAAAGGAATTAAACTAGAAATCAGTAACAAAATAATAACAGAACAATCTCCAAACACTTTGAATTTAAATAACATACTTAAATAATCCATGAGCAATCCTCAAGAGAAATTAGAAAATATTTTGAACTGAACAAAAATGAAAATATAGATGCCATTAAAACACTGCTTAGCAGAAAATTTATAGCATCAAATACTTGTATATTATGAAAGAAGAAAAGCCTAAAATCAACAACCTAAGCTTCCACCTTAAGAAATTAGAAAAAGAACAAAGCAAACACAAAGCAAGCCAAAGGGGAAAAAAATAACAAGAGAAGAAATCAATGAAATCAAAAGCAAAAAAAAAGGGAAAATTAATGAAACTAAAGAGTGGTTCTTTGAAAAGATCAACAAAATTGATAAATCTCTAGCAAAACTGACAAAGAAAAAACAGAAAAGATACAAATTATCAGTATCAGGAATAAAAGAAGAGACATCACTGCAGACCACACAGACTTCAAAAGGTAACAGAATACTAAGGACAACTTCACACACAAAAACTGGGACAACTTAGATGAAATGGAGCAATTCCTGAGTGCCACAAACCAGTAAAACCCACCCACGAAGAAATGGATAACCTGAATAGTTCTGTATCTATTAAAGAAATTGAATTTCTTAAAAATCTTTTAAGAAAGAAATCTCCAGGCTCAGATCAATTCATAGACAAACATTTAAAGAATAAATAACACTAATTCTACACAATCCCTTCTAGAAAACAGAAGAGGAGGGAACACGTGCCAATATTTTGTATGAGGCCAGATTTACCCTGATATAAAGTCAGACAAAGAAAGAAACAAAGAGAGAAAACCACAAACCAACATCCCTGATGAGCATCGACAAAAAAATCCTCAACAAAGTATTTGCAAACCAAATTCAGCAATATATAAATAGAATAATGCACCATGGCCAAGTGAAGTCTATCCCAGTAATGCAAGGCATGGTTCATTTGTAAAAATCAATTAATGTATTCCACCATATTAACAGATTAAGGAAGGAAAACTACATGACCATTTCATTGGAGAAAAAAAGCATTTGATAAATGTCAACATTCATTCAGGATTTTAAAAAAAAAAAACTCCCAAAAATTAGGAATTAAAGGAAACTGCCTTAACCTGATAATAAGGCATCTACAAAAAAACTTCACAGCTACCATAGTTGATGGTGAAAGACTGAACTGCCTTCCCCCTAGTCAGGAATAAGGCAGGGGTGTCCACTCTCACCCCTCCTGTTCAACATCACATCAGCACCAATGGCCAGGGCAATAAGGCAAAGAAAAGACATAAAAGGCATAGAGATTAGACAGGAAGAAATATAACTGTTCCTATATGTACACAGTATAATTGTCTATGAAGAAAACGCCAAGAAAAATACAATGAAGCTCAAAAAGTAAGTGAGTTTAGTACAACTGCAGGATATAAGGGCAACACAAAAAAAATCCACGGTTTTTCTATATACTAATGAACAAGTGGAAACCCAAATTCTATAAAATCCCAAAGCAAGCTCTATGTTCAGTACCTGGGCAGGCCCACAGGCAATTCCCACTATGTGTTTGGTGTCCAGTCCTGGCAGTGCAGCAGGTTCCGGCTTGGTCACACGCAAGGTGTCAAAGTGCTGACACTGGTCATTGCTCCCCCAGCTATGGACCTCGCTGTCCTCGGTCAGAGCCAAGCAGTGGGTGGAGCCCGCAGCCACATCAATCACCTTCTTCCCTACAAGGGAAGAGGGATGCAGATGCAGCTTCAAGCCTATCAATTCTATTGCAAGAAAGATATTTGCACCCAGCCATTCAAGTCAGAGGCATTCTTGAGGATAATTTGTTGCTTTAATATTAGGCACAATTCATTTGCTTCGAGCATGTGATTAAAACTCCTGTGCTTTGTCAACTACAATTTGTGAAGACCCACAGCCTACAAATAGAATAATGCTAGGGTATGAAAAGGATCTGTTATTTTTTCTCCTCCTTATTCAGATTTTCATTCAGAAAGAAACAAATGTATTTTTAATTAACTGTTAGATCATATTCTCCTGACCCTGGTATAACAATGCAAAGCACACTCTTCATTGAGGAAGGTTTCTTAAAAGGAAATTTATTTTTCTCTCAGAGTTATATGATATAAATGTTAAAAAACATTTTTTCTATTTAAATAGTGAAAGCAAAGTGTCGTATTTTTCCTTGTTAGTAAATCTAACATGACCAACACAAAGGGTGTTTCTCAGAAATGTCAACATATAAAATAATTCAGCTGAAAATCTCTATACTACAGTACAGGAACAATTACACCTTAGGAGCCTACCATATGTTAATAACAGCAACCAAAAAAATTTTATCAACAATAATTTAAATACTCCCATACTAAGCTATTACTGCCTCTAACAAATTGATTTCCTTTCTAATACAGTTGATTTCCTTTACTAATGGAGGGAAATATAAACAAGAAGGCAAATGAAATTCAAATACACTTTCATGACATATAGTAAACTATATTACTCTACAACTTATCTCAGAAACTTGAAAAATAATAAATACCATATAGGCACACAAAACTCCTAGTCATCAAGGTACTAACATGCTTTAAAATAAAACCGATGTGGAAAGTAACTGGCAAGTCCCACTTAAAAGTCCCGCTTCCAAACCCCCTGGATATAGAAGCAAAAACATAAACAAAGAAGAATGTACTATAGTGCAAGGATCCAACAGGCTATGGGCTTCACACAAAATGCGGCCCAAAGCCTGTATTTGTGAATAAACTTGTGCTAGAACACAGCCAGGCCCACCCCTGAAACAGAGAAAACACTAAAGACCCCACCTGGTGCACTCTCACCGATCTCTCCCTTCTTCCCTTCCTTCTGGTCAACTCAGCTATATATACTCACCAGCTCTCGACTAGGATGGAAACCATCTACCAACCACCAGGCCAAATAGTGTGGAAAAACCCAGTTTTCCCCTTTAAAAAGTCCCTCCTACAGCCCAACCCTCATGGTTTTGATGGCCCTCCCACTTCCTACAGTATGACCTCTCCAGTAGGAGTATATTAAGAGCATTCCAGGGCCTTCTCCCAGATGCTCCCATCCTCTTTGCCTGCACTGGTGGCCCACACTGTGTAGGTGCCTGCACTTACATCTATAAGCCTTGGCTTCCATCTGTTCCCTCCAGCAATGATGCATGCTGGACACCTTTCTAACCTATCAAGCAGGATTCATCCACCAAGGAAAAGTTCAACTGAGAGCACCCCAGGTGGACCCAATTCCATCTCCCAGTGTGGCCCACTGTACAAGTACCCAAAACTTCTATCACCAGCAGAAGTTACCCTCGATCAGTCCAGCTTGCTGAGTGATAAATGGGTCCCTGCCACAGAAAGAATTCTCCAATATTAGTAAAACTGAATGAGTTTCAAATTAAATTTGATGAGAATAAATCTAGGTCACTTTTTAATACAGACAAACCACTTTCCAATGACTATCTATCCCTACCAAGGTGCTAGTAAAAGTTTCTAATGATGGTCCATTCACGGAATGTCAGGTTAAGACAAAAAACTCTGCAAACTTTAAAAGATTACTAAAGAAACGGTCCCCAAAGGGTTTTAAAAGTCTATATCTGCACCTACCTTGCAAGCCTTCCAAGAGTTTGGGATAACGAACATGTTCTTCTGTTCCGTGCCCAAGTCTCTGGTTGTCACCTTTTCCCCATGAATAAACTTGGCCATCTTTCGTCAAGGCAATTGAAAACTGACTTCCACAGCGGACTTTGACAACATCCAAGTCTTGAAGCTTTTCAATCAGCTTTGGTGTTTTGCAGCCATCACTACCACCTCTGCCCAATTTCCCGTAGTCACCATCTCCCCAAGACCACACTTGCCCTAAAAAATACAAAATGCATCTAGGTAAAAATAACTGTGCATTTCAATGAAAAATTTTAAATGGCTGAAAATAATAGAGCCAATAATGCACACAAATCTAGACCACTGATGTACGCAGTTAACACTACACGGGTGGTTACTGACCGAATGAAATCCAGTTTACACTTCAAGTTGATATAGAAGCAATTAAGAAAGGGAAAGCTGGGTTTTCTTTTCATTTTAATTACATGAAAAACGGAGTCCTGACTCTTACTAGGTTGGGTTCAATGATACTACTTCAACTAAATGCTGAACACAGAACAAAAGCCCCATTGCCCCATAAAGCACTGTAACTGAGGCCCACGACACACTAGAGCTCGCTGATCACTCTCCAGTGTGGCTGCATGCTTCTGTTCCAACCATGCTGACCACGGGTATTGCTGAATACCACTGTATTTTTTCCCAACTGTCAGTGCAATTATGTAATTTGGTTAAATAGTACATAAAGGGACAAAAATGCAACTGCAAAAGTAAATAATTTTTTAACACTGAAAACTAAGCTGAATACTTTGCAAAAACTTAATAAAAGTGAATTCCTAAAAAACAAAATCGTTATGTTAGGTATAAGGGAAAACTGTAAAAGATGAGAAAAAAAATCAGAAGGAAGAAATCAGATTGCTCCATAAGCGACCATGTCACCATCCTATTTTAAATAATCTATACCAAAGAGTGGCAAACTTTCCCTTCAAAGATCAGCTGGTAAGTATTTTTAGCCTCTATGGGCAATACAGTATCCACAACAAGTAGTCAACTGTGCCACTGTCCCACAAAAGCGGCCACAGACAATACATAAGCTGGCAGGGCTGCATCCCAATACAACTCTATTTGGAAAAACAGGCCAACTCCTGATCTAAACTGAAAACCGTAGATGACACACTATTAGGTGATCAATACAGGAAACACAGCAAACCCGTACACAAAGATCAGAGAGTGTGTGTACATTTATATGCTTTGGTTAAAATTCTGTTGTTCACATAGCCCACCTGGTGATTCCCCACTTTCACCAATGTTTTCAGTAAACCCATCACCCCAGGCCAGACTGCACAACGGAAGATGCTTCCCCCACACCAGTCATCTCAGAAAATAATAGTACAGCAAGGATATTTTCCTATAAGATTTGCACCAAAGAAACACCAGTGTAGAGGTAGACAATGTCCACAGCCCCACACAAGGAAATACAGTTGACATATGACCACAAAATTTTACTAACATAGCAACTTCACACAAAGAATACAAAGATAATATCCTACTGAATTCTTTTAACCAGAAAATACTTCCTAATTAAAAGTTTTGTGAAATCTATCACTCACTCAGTAATGGATATTTTAAAATGAGATGGCAAATTGAAATCTTCACGGCAGAAGGGACCTCTCAGATGACAGATAAACCATCTTTGCTCTAGGACTCACAGTAGCAGAAGCAAGATGGCTCTGAGAATGCCTACCCTGTCAGTGGCAGAGAGAACTATAATATATGTATATGAACATGTCTGAATGATTCTGATCTTTCACCAAAGAAACTCCCAGAAGTAAGTCAATTCGCAATCTGCCATTCAACCTCTATGGGAAAAAAAAGGTGGAGAGGTTCCCCAGCTGATTTTGACAGCTCACATAATGCCAACAACAGAGCAGATGTCAAGGAGAGATCACTGTAAGACTGACAGATAAGCACAGCTGTTTAAAAATCAATACGATTTTAACCATCAAACCTGATAAAACATACACTCAAAGAAAGAAAATTAGTACAATCTCACCATCGAACACAAACACAAAACTAAAATTAAAAACATGCAAACTTGGCAGGACACAATGGCTCACGCCTGTAATTCTAGCACTTTGGGAGGCTGAGGCAGGAGGATCATTCCAGCCCAGGAGTTTAAGACCAGCCTGGGCAACATAGCAAGACCCCATCTCTACAAAATATTTTAAAAATTAGCCAGGCGTGGTGATGTGTGCCTATAATCCCTGCTACTTGGGAGGCTCAGGCGGAAGGATCACTTGATCCCAGGAGTTTGAGGTTACAGTGGGCTATATGGACTGCACAACAGAGCGAGACCCTGCCTCAATCAATAACAAGCAAACAATGTAGCATCTGACTGCTGAATACACAAAGACTAAGTAGGACTTATCCAGGGAATCAAGAGTCTGAACATTAAGAAATGTAATAATAATAATACCCAGGGGCAACTCAGAATGTCAATTATTTCGTTTTAACTCTAATTTTTAGTTAAAAAATAAAATGCCCACATAGGAAAGATGGCAGCTGTTAACCAGCTGTCTGGCTCTGGGCAAGCCCAAGCCCTGTAAGTTCCTAGGCCTCTTCATTGAGGCCACTGAGACCCACACCCACTTAAAAGTGGATGACAGGGCGGGTGGCCTGTGAGGTTCATTCCAAGTCTCACTCCCTCCAGGGAAGCTGCCATCCACGTCCTCTAGGGCCTGCCCAGGGAAACAAGAGCTCTACTTACCATTCTCAGTCACAGCCAAGGTTTGTGCATCCCCACTCCCACACGCCACATCAATGACCTTGAGTCCTTTAAGCCCAGCTACCAACATTGGAATGGCCTCATCCTCACTGGAGCCTTCAAACAGATAAAACTTTCGTTACTCAAGTCCTCTCAGAAGAGGCAACCTCCCAGTGTACGCCTGTGATCTCGAAGAGCACACGTACCGTGGCCCAGCCGGCCGTAGTTTCCGCGGCCCCAGGTGTACAGCTCCCCCTCCGCAGTGATGGCTGCACTGTACGTGCTCCCACATGCAATGTGCACCACGTGTTTCCCGGCCTGCTTTCCAGAGAAAGCAGAGATCACCTTAGGCTCCTCCAAGGGCCTGTAGGGAGAAAGGAAACAAACGTGAATGCCCTTCTAGGCATCTCTTATTAGAGTTAGCAAAGGAAATTCACTATCAGGAATAGACCATCAAGGCATCAGGACGTGTTCATCCTTCAGGTACCTTATGAAATAATCAGGGAAGAGGGGATTCAAACATCTAACACCTCCATGGCTTTTTGCTAAGGTGGAATCCAACACCAAACATGGTACCCAGCAGGGGTATCAAAACAATGTCTGTTAAAGACTTGTTCAATAAAACTCACAGCAGCTTTATTCACAATGGCCCAAAATTGTGATCCATCTGCTATAGAAAAGAATAAACTGATATGCCCAACAACACAACTGGATCTCAAAACACCACGTGAAAGAAGCCAGAAACAAAATACTATATGCTGTATGACTTTGTTTATACTAAATTCTGGAAAACACAAAATAATCGTGACAGAGGGCAGATCAGAGGTTGCCAGGAGCTGGAGGTAAGAGGCAGGGACTGAATGAAACAGAGCCCTGGAAGCAATGGAAATTCAGCATGTCACTGTGGGGGCTACCTGACTGTGTGCACTTGCCAAGACCCACCCAAGTACACACTTCAAACTGATTCATTTCATTCTAAGTAAACCTCGTAAAGCTGACTGACTGGGGTCATTCCAACCCCTGCTGCTGCCCACTCTCCCTGCTCAGGGCACCGACCTACATGAAGTAGGCTTGCTGGGTCGGCATGTATGTGCATCTTTAGTTTCAACCCAGTAACGACGTTTTTCCCACGAGATTCCACTCACAACAGCAAAGTATAAGAAGGTTCCCATTACTCCAAGGAAACTATCAGACCTCTCAATTTTTACAACCTGGCATTTATAACAACCATTTTCTGTTTTGTTTCTGTTCTCTCACAGTAATCAAAAGATTCCACCACATAACATAATATTAAGAGGCCGGGCGTGGTGGCTCACATCTGTAATCCTAGCACTCTGGGAGGCCGAGGCGGGTGGATCGCTCAAGGTCAGGAGTTCGAGACCAGCCTCAGCAAGAGCGAGACCCCGTCTTTACTAAAAATAGAAAGAAATTATCTGGACAACTAAAAATATATATATAGAAAAAATTAGCCGGGCACGGTGGCGCATGCCTGTAGTCCCAGCTACTCGGGAGGCTGAGGCAGTAGGATCGCTTGAGCCCAGGAGTTTGAGGTTGCTGTGAGCTAGGCTGAAGCCACAGCACTCTAGCCAGGGCAACAGAGTGAGACTCTGTCTCAAAAAAAAAAAAAAAAAAAAAAAAAAAAGATAACATTAAGAAACTGTTGATTTTTGTACCTATGAAAATGATATTATGGCTCAAGGAAAGGAGGACCTGATCTGTTAGAAAGGGCAAAGTGTGTGTGAATGAAGGGACAACAGTGTGGGATGTGCTTTGGAAACCTCCATGGCTGGGGTGAGGAGCTAAATAGATAAAATAGGAGGAACACAAAGCTGGCTGCAGCTGCTGCTGGAGGAGAAGAGCAGGAAGGCCAATTCTCCTCGCCTTCCACTCGTGGGCAGAGCTCCCAAGCAGTCGCCAAGGAGTGGGCATACTGTGGTATCTCTCCCCATCCTGGCCCTGCATGTCGGGGCAGCTGGAAAACACCCAGACACACTTCTATGCTCCATTCTGTTTAGGACATGGCAACATAAAAGGAAAGTATGTCAGTTACAGGAACATGCAGCACTTACACAGTGTCCCCGTGGCCCAGCCGTCCGCCGTCCCCACAGCCCCAGGAGTACACCTCTCCGGTGGCCGCCAAAGCCAGGTAGTGGTGACCATCAGAATGAGCAGCAATTTTTACAATGTTTCTAGAGGCAAGACCCTGGACCAACTGAGGGGCCTAAAAGGGTAAAAATAGGAAGAAAATTAGTCATCAGTCCAAGGATAATGAAAACAGCACAACTCTCCTCAATCATGTATCCCCCTTGAACAAACCCTGCTTAATTGAAAAGGCATGGGCCTCTGGAGGCTGCCAACAGGTTCTCCAGCCCTCCTCACCCAGAACCAACAGAATGGTGGGCAGCTCCCAGTACTCCGTGGCATGATTGGTGCCAACTGGGGCTGTGCAGGCTGCACCATGCAATGGGAGACGTGAAGCCACCAGGAGGGGCCCCTTCTTGTAAAGGAAATATGCACGTCCTAATGTACCTCCATCCCCACAAGGCCCAACTCCCTCATTTGTTACCTCCCTGGACCCAAAGTCAAATGAGTTTACACGTGGAAAGTTGCTTTACAATGGGAATCACGGTTAGCAATGTGTTTCACTGTAAGGAGTTCTTGATCTTAGCAACCCAAACTCTTGACAATAACAATCACAACTAAAATTATAAAACATGACTAACAACATACAATGAACAGATGCTCATCAATCCTCAGAAAGCAAACAACCAGTAGCTGTAGTAGAGACCCTGCCCAACAAGGGAACCATGCAGGCAAAGCACCCAGAACACCCACCAGTGTATCACTATTGTAGGCCTGGGTGTACACACGGCCATTGCGCGACAGGATCAGAAAGCGCTTCTCTGCACAGGCGATCTGCGTGACTCCCAGGTTGGCAAGACCTTCACACTGGATTGGACCAATCACATTGGCATAGTATTTCCATCCTATTAACCCCCAACCTATGACCTCTTGCAATGATCCCTGTAAAATAAGAAAGTAAACATTTTCTTTACAGCAGCAAGAAAATGGCTAGGCCTAACACTGAGACACGATAGGCTAAAATCAATGCAAGTAAAAGAAAGATTGAAAACATCAAAACAACTCATAACATTCCACACTGGCTAGTCGTAGTGGCTCACACCTGTAATCCTAGCACTTTGGGAGGCCGAGGCAGGAAGATTGCTTGAGGTCAGTTGTTTGAGACCAGCCTCAGCAAAAGTGAGACCCCATCTCTACTAAAAATAAAAAGAAATTAGCCAGGCAACTAATAATAGAAAAAAAAAAATTAGCCAGGCATGGTGGCACATGCCTGTAGTCCCAGCTACTGAGAAGGCTAAAGTAGGAGGATCGCTTGAGCCCAGGAGTTTGAGGTCACTGTGAGCTAGGCTGATACCACAGCACTCTAGCCCAGGCAACAGAGCAAGAGTCTGTCTCAAAAAAAAAAAAAAAAAATTCCATATTAACTCAGTTAACAGGTAAGATGAGGTAACTGAACATCTTTCCATAACATTTCATTTTAATGCAGCCCACTAAAAAGTAGTACAAATGGCCCTTAAATATATTTTAAAATGCTCAGACTATACCAGGTTACCATTGAATGCCACAACAGACAAAAACCCAAAAGCCCAACTACAAGGGTGAGAGACGAGTGCCCCTGTGGGTGGGGTGAGAGGGAGCCAGCTACCTGGAGATAACCAGCCCACACAGGGTCCGCCCACAAGAGGGTGCGCGCACAGGCACACACATCTGCACACACAGAGGAACACATGTACAACGTCAGTCACCACAGCCCTGTATGTGTAGCAAAATTTTGACAATAACCCAAGTGTTCACCTATGAGAGACACATTAAAAAAAAAGATACATCCACAAATGGAATACTAAGCTGCTATAAAAAAATAAAAAAGCTCTCTTTATTGATACAGAAAGCTCTCCAGTATTTATGTTTAATGAGCAAAACAAGCTACAGAAGTAATGCCACACGCCACTGCTAATATATTCGTTCCAGATAGTAACAACAGGTTACGGAAAGGCTAGAAAGTGAGAACAAGCAGGTAGGGAAACTTGAGGAGGAAGTGACAGTGTGTCTCTGCCTATAATTCTGACTTTTGAACAATGGAACTATATTACTTATTTGAAAAAAATATGACTATTACACAAAATAAATACTCTTTATATTAAAAATAAAAAGTTAGTCAGGCGAAGTGGCTCATGCCTGTAGTCCCAGCACTTTGAGAGACCAAGGTGGGAGGACTGCTTGAGGCCAGGAGTTCCAGACTTGCCTGGACAATAGTGAGACCCTGTCTCTACAAAAAATAAAAAAATTCACTGAGCATGGTGGCACGCGCCTGTAGTCCCAAGCTACTCGAGAAGCTGAGGTGGGAGGATCACCCTGAGCCCAGGAGTTTGAGGCTGCAATGCAGTGAGCTACAATCAGACCACTGCACTCTAGCCTGGGCGACGGAGTGAGACTCTGTCTCAAAAAAAGAAAAAAAAAAAGTTAGAGGGGGATAAAGAGAATAAATTAATTAATTAATTAAAAGTTAGAGAAAGGTGAATTCAAAACCAGGATTACTCCGTATGACCACAGCACGGTCCACCACCATCTCAAACTGCAGTTTTCTCACTGACACAATGATCAGACACCACAGCATGTGTGAGGTCCTCGGTCAGGGCTGCACTCCAAAGGCTCTCCACCCATGCAGACCACTACTATTACCATCACTATTATGTAATACATATAAAATATATAAATACAGTGTCAGTACCATAACCAGCATTACATACTAAGACAGCCCATGTTCAGAGTACAAAAGAGGCTCTGGACCTCCCTGCAGAAGGTGGGATGGCCTGCAGATAAGGATAAGGGTGAGCTCTCTGGGGATGTGCCTCCTGAACCTGGAACCGGGGACCCAGATTGGGTCCTTGGGCCCTGTGCACCTCGGCTTACTCACCACTGGCAACACCTTGAACTGCAAACATGTTTAAAAACTTTAAGCCAGATGACACCACCAATAAGTCTCCACACATGCAGAGAATGAGAATCTAGGCATGGTAGTAACTACAGAACACGTGAAGAACACCATTTTCCCACATACCTTATGCGACGTCGGAGAGCTACACAGAGGAGGCATACAGGGTGTAGCCAGGCGGTCTAAATGGGCCATGACAACAACAGCTGTTTGCCGCAAATCAATGGCAAGCTCATTGTCTTGTGGAAGAGTAAGGTACCGCAGGAAACTCTCATTGGGGCTCAGTGGGCCAGACAAAAGCTACACAAGAAAAGTAAACAAACATATTCAGAAATGGTGGGAAAAACTAAAGTAACAGTTTTTCTAAAGTAACAGTAAAGGTTAAATTAGGCTTTAACCACTGTTTATATATTTGGGTATTTGCAGTTATGCATTATCTGACTTGCTGTACATCTATTACATCACATGCAGGTTGAATCCTGTGTGCAGACTTCACATGGGCTACTAATACAGCCAAACTACCCACAGGCATGGTGCCCCCAGGACCCCTGGAGGAACACAGACCAAGCTCCAAGGGAACACAGCACAGCACCTTAACTTGGCTTTGAAAACTAAAAACAAAACCCCTTATTTTAATCTAAATGTTGTCCACTCTGGAGAAAACTTAATTTCATTTGCAAATTAAGTTATAGTTCTAATTCTTCTGAAGGCAGAAGAGCCTTATTATCATTAGTTTAAAGACTGACAAATAATAGATAAATTAGGTTGCAGCATGATAATGGAATGCCTACGTCTTTCCAGAAAAGATCAGCAAAATCCACGCTGTACTTGTACAGAGCAGCAGTCCTGGAGGTTCGAGCCCAGGGCCCAACACCCTGCTCCTCCCCCAGCTCGGCATCCTCGCCTGTAAAGGGCCTGGTTGGTACCACGTACAGTGACAACTCAGGTGATGTTCCTCCACAGTGCCTGGCAGGAAGGGCAACAAAGTAAGCCACTATTTTCCTTGTTTTTTTTCTGATATGTATTTAAAAATGTGTGTTCCAGGCTTGGTTCTGTGCTGACAACAAAGCCTGTGCTCATTGCTCCATAAACAGCAGGTCAAAGGAGACAGGGGACAGAGACCAACCCGGCTCTCCCAGGGAGAAGCTAACAGGGACAGTGAGAGGACTGCAAGTGTGGATTATTCCAATGTACACTAAGTGAGATTCCCTGCTTGAACTGGCTCCTTCCCACATGGCTCTGAGCCTAGGCCCTCAGCACTACCTCCAGCTCTGTCACTGCAAGTGCTCAGAGGGACCAACTTCTCCTACTCTGCACTTGAAACAGCAGCAGGATGTTTACCCTCTTCATTCCTCTACTAACTCCATCCTTCACAGAAGTGAACATGCCCTCTTTACATCTTCCACGGCATCTAAAACTCATTCCCCTTCACAGCCAAAGCACAACACAGGCAGCTGCTGGAACACGTGAGCACTAGCCACAGACACCAAGGGCACAGCGGCTCTGGTTCAGCAGAAAGCAAGCTACACTGTGAACATGGCAGTAGACAGGTCTCTCTAAAAATACGCTGATCGCGCCAAGACATAAATTTCCCCTACTAAATATGCACAATCCAAACAAAACACATAGCCCAGGGCCTACACATCAGAGCTGGCTCTGGCCACTCACTGTCACATCAAAGAATCCTAATGGGCTTGTGTGATGTCCTCCCCCATCAACATAACTCACACCATGGCCTCCCACAATTGTCTTCTCTAACTCATTGCTGATGTCACCACTCAGCCCAGAGACAACCACTGGCCATGGACATGCACTCTGGTCCAATTCTTTAAAACAACTAAAGAGTGCCACCTACACACAAAATTCCACTGTGATACTTACGTGCGTGTCCCCCTCTGCGTGAGGCGTGTCTTTACTGCAGATGATGCTCTGGAACCTTTGCAGCAAAGGTAAAAGCGGGGCGCTGGTGCCCTGGGCAGACCGCTCATTGTCAGTCTCCTGCGCCCCACTGTCCCACAGCTGGAGCAGCAGCAGGATGGAAGACAACATTTGGCTGAAGGAAAAAAGATATGTATTCCTAGTAAAAACAGATTAATTTTTCCCCCATGGTCCACCAAAAATAAAAGCAAACAGCTAAATAAAAGTGAAGAAATACTTTGGATATGAAAGGAAACTAAAATAATGACATGGGAACAATTCCTGGCAATAAAATCACTGAATTGACACCAAGATTTTAGCATAGGACATTTGCCCTGTGTTGATAGGAAATATAAGCCCAGTTAAGATCTTCAAATAGCACTTGCTATAGGAAACTTCTAGGACCTTAAATTAATGGAATACAAATAATTTTTTGAGGGAAACTAGAAGAAAAAAAGAGAACAGTTTCTAGACAACTAGAAAACTGAGCATAAAAAGGAAGTGAAAAGAACGTAAAGAACAGAGGACCCTGGGACATGGTTCTCTGATTATAGAATACCACATACCCCTGCTGTAGTCACAAAAAATTCAATGAAATGCCACAAAACACAACAAATGTTTGGGTACAGAGGTGCTTCCCAGAAGTATCCCCAGCCTATGGCACCCCTCACCTCAGCGTGCCCCTCTGCACAGCTAGCTCTAACAGGATGGCCAGGGCCAAGTGTTGGTCCTGCAGGGGGATGCTTCCCGGCCCTTTGGTACCCGGCGTTCCATGAACATCCCTGAAATGAAAACAGTAGATGCAGGAACAAAGCAATGTCAGAGAAACACAGCATGCTTACAATCACACTAACATGCCAGTTATATTCTCTCTCCCATAGAAAGGTATATTTTTTAAATTTTAGAATCAAGTTTCTGAGACATGCTACTCAAATTTATTCAGAGATTTTAAAGTATACAATTAACTTGTAAAGATATATTTTATTACAAGTGTTAATTCAGATACTGTATTACATTAGGACATACTCCAAGTTTCTGAAGCATAAAATAACTTATACCATTATTTAAACATAAGTAGAATATTTAGATATTATTCCAGTTTCAGTGAAGTATAAGATTGTAAGAGTATTGCTGGGCATAGAATAATCCCAGCTGCTCAGGAGGCTGAGGCCAAAGGATCACTTGAGCCTAGGAGCTTGAGATCAGCCTGGGCAATACAGCAGGATCCCGTCTCCAAAAAATGAAAAAAAAAAAATTAACCAGGCGTGGTGGCGTATGTCTGTAATCCCAGCTACTGGGGAGGCTGAGGCAGGATCATTGCTGAGCCCAGGATTTTGAAGTTACAATAAGCCATGGTCATGCCATTACAGTCCAGCCTGGGTGACAGAGTGAGACCATGTCTCTTAAAAAAAAAAATAATAACTATAAGAGTATCACCATTCCGCTACAGAATTAGAGAAGAATCAATTTATAAAACCACCTGAGAATCTACAGGCAAAATGTCTATTCTTATTTTTATCTCTAATCAAAGAATATTTCTAACTTTTCTTTGTTATCCAATAATAAACAACAAATTTTCTTAATCCAAGGTTGGGGAGGGAAGATCTTATGACATCAACATTATAGTTGAACTTTTTTTAAATTAATTCCAAGCCTATTTTCAGAGGCCCCAGCCTTAAAACTCTGTGGTGAAGCCTTCACCAGCACTCCTATGAAACGAACTCAAAGCCAGGGGGCACGGACACCACAGGCGTCCCTGATGGCAGGAAGAAGGCACAGTGGTGACCTCTGGCAAGGAGAGTGAGAAGGGGACTCACTCTTCCCCTGCATCTGTCATTGCTGTTGAGTTTTATAGAGTATATACCTTTTCTTTAAACATAAAAACCATAACGAAAACACACAGCACTCATTATCAGAGTTCATGGTTTTCCTTGCAGACAAATGATTCACATTCAAATTTTTTCACAGTAAGAAGACTACCTATAGGTTTAAACATTTTAATCTTGAGTAGTTTACTCCCATGTTATCTATCAAGACTTCAAACAAAGTGCCACCCATCACACAGAGCAGTGGCTCCTAACTATCAAAGAGAGGCACACAAGTGCTCAAACACTTTATAAGTGATTAATCACCAAGTCATAAGGGTAGCTAAAAAATAAATAAATCACAAAAGCATCTTTTATTTCCCATTTCATTCAATATGACAGCTTCCTGGGTCAAATCAGAGTGTTAATAAATCAAACTATGCAAAAAGCTAAGAACAAAGACCTAGAATCACAGAGCTGAGGGTGTGTAGGAAACACAGGTGAGAAACAACTTACTAAGTTTCTCAGCTCTAAAGAGGAATGAAAGGATGAGACTGAAGCACACTGGAACCCTTCGCACAGGAAGGCATGAAAGGAAAGAACTCACCCTGTCACGACAGACCTGAGGAACCTGGTTGCTCTCTCCACCACCTCCAGCCACACAGAGGACACGGTGCTCTCATCAAAGAGCGAGGCCTCGGGAAGAGCTCGCAGGGCATCCAGGGACTCCTGCAACAGCTCGCTGCAGAGGTCTGCGTCCTCACCTGCGCACACACACGTCAGAGGAGGCCGCCCACTGCCCCTCACTCTCCCACTGGGCCTCCCACCCCTCAGCGTGAGAAGATGTCCCTTTCACCTTTTCAATCCCTCACTCAACAGACCAAAATCTAACACGGTTGTCTCAAACTCAATTCTGTATTTTGTGGCTCTCACATGAACAATACAAACTTCTTGTTCTTCTACAAATAAATTAGGACTGAGGCATTCCATGGTAGTGGTTTGCCGGGGGGTGGGGTGGTCATGCACTCTTTTTTCTTTTTTGTCAGCATAGACCTGAAAAGTCAAACAGACTCTGCAGCTTCTCACTTAACAAAGAAGGAAAGTGAGACACAGGGAACACATGGGATCAGCCCAAGGGCATATGGTGACAGACAGAGCACAAAACCCAAATCTCCTGATGTATTAGGGGAACAGAACAACATGCTGGGTACACATACCTGACCGCCAGGCCCTGCGTAAGAAGGCAAAGGCAAAAGAGAGAGCTGCTCGGGATCCAACTCTGGCAAGTCCTTCCACGCCTTTACCGGTGGGCCGGGAACTGCGGACAATACACATGGGGGTGGTGACAACTGGTCAGCCAGAGAAATATGCAAATACTGAAATGAAATAAATAATATGGAAGGATTTATACCAAAATGTGACCAATGGTTTTATTTAGATGGCAGGATTGATCACAAGTGACTTTTAGTTTCCTTTTTTTAAAAACATATATCAAATGTCCTTTGTAAAGGAAAAGCTTTCTCTTTAAGGAAAAAAAAAAAGACATTTATAACGAACTTTAAATGACTTGGAAAATTGCTCACAAAATAACACTAGGGAGCTGATATTATAGAGGGGGAGTGAAAGCCGACAGTAAACATAAATACATAGACAGGGGTTAGGAGGCAAACCTCATGTAGGAAACACAAGGCAGGTGAAATGAAAGACAAGTGCACAGAGAATGACACAACGGACACTTGGACTCCGCCCCCGAGTTGGACGGCATTCACTTGGGTCATTCACAGGCCAGACCTGTGTGTGGGCAGGGTGCAGGGCCGGTGTGCTCCACCTGTCCCCTTCCAGCCAACCCTGTGCAATGACGCCCCCAAGGGCAGTGCTTATCATCCTCACATTTTTTAAGCTTTTTGCCACTGATATATGTTAATTTAACAAGTCACAGTTTCATTCTGTATGTGATAAAAAGCTATACAAATAGTATGCCATAAAAATCCTACAAAAAAAAAAGAAAAAAACTAGAATACAAAAATGCATATATAATATAAACTAAATAATGGCACAGCAAGTAATTTCATTTTCTACTTTATACTATATAGCACATATACACACACACAGTATAGTATAGTATTTCTACTATAGACTATATTCCTCAAATTTTGTATAATTTGCTTTCATAATCAGGAGAAATGTTATTAAAAACAGGTAATGCTATGGATGATCTCCCAAAGATACAACATCTCAATGAGAAGTCAGACCGTGGGGAACCCCGGGAGCAGCTGGATGCACTTAGTTGTGAATGCTTAAATAATGCATGGGGACCTCTAAGAGAAACACAAAAAACTGTAGTTACAATCTGCCTCTGAGAAGGGCACTGGGTGCCTGGGAAACAGGAATCTTTGTTTCTGAATGAGAAACATAAACATTACAAGATACAGAAGTATAATAGGACCTATGAACTTCAAAACAGAAAGCACATGTGCTAAGTCTGTTCGGAGGAGGTGGGAAGACCACCCCAGACATGTGCCCTTGGAGAAAGCTGCTCCAGGGTAAGCATGAAGATGGGCTCCCCTCAGGCAGTCAGAATCTTGTCCCTGGAGAAACAGCCCCACAGCCCTAAGTCTGTATGGTCTAAGAAGTGCTATGCCTTCAATAAGTGGCTTTCAATTTTACAGATGTTTAAGAAAAAAATTGAAATAGCTTGGACCCTCCCCCATCCACACCAGTCAACTACCCAAGCTAGTTCCACAAGAAAGGTAAAACACACCACTATCCAGTAAATTGAGAAATGAGGAAAAGAAATCTACAAAAAATTTAGGAGATATCACTACACACCTACCAGAATGGCTGAAGTAAAAAAGTGACAAGACTAAACGCTAAAACTCATACATGGCTGGTGAGAAGGTAAAATGGTACTTCAATTCTAGAAAAAGAGTATGGCAATTTCTTACATTAGCACTCCTTACATTTGTGTTTAAACTTAATCAGAAGATCCAGCAACTGCACTCTTAGGTGTGAATCCCAGAGAAATGAAACTTATATTCATACAAAACCTGTACATTACAAAGTAAAATTATTGAATTTTTTTTAGAAAGCCTATACATGAATATTCATAGTAGCTTTATTTGTCATACTGTAACAGAGTAGTCGCCCCTCCTCCCACAGATACAGAAGTGTCAAATTGAGCGTGGGGAATATATAACAAAGGGAATGGCTTGAAAAAAACAAAAGAAAAAAAAAAAAGCAAAAATTTTCTGTCTCTTTAAAACTTCCCCCACTCTGAGACCTGCAGCCTGGCCTGCGTCCCTGAGGCAAGCTAAGTCCTTTGTTAAAAAAGATAACTCAGCCATCCCAGGCAATGCCAGCCCCCCAGCCAGCCCCCTAGAGAGCCCCCCAGGTAAGCGGCTGGCAGAGTTCATGGCTGGCAGAGTTCATGGCCTCTGTCTTTCGCAGATATGGGAAGATTAGAAGAGTTAACCACAAAAGCCTAGAACCAAGGGGCCCTCCCTTTAAAAGCTCTGTTTCTGCTTATGCTCAGGAAATTTGGAGTTTGAAACAAGAAGGTCTACCATTTTTCCTCCTTTGCTGGCAAAGTAATAAAACTTCTCTTTCCTCCTCCCCAAACCACTTGTTTTTCTTTGTTCTTCTGATGTGGCCTTGAGGACAAGTGCCAAGCTTTCGGTAACAGATTTCTCAGTAACAATACCCCCAAACTGGAAATAACTGAGACAAAGTGTGGCACATCCATGCCATGGAATACTACTCAGGAATAATGATACATGCAACTACTTGGAAAAATCTCAAGGGAATTACACTGAGAGAAAAAAGCCAATCTCAAAAACTTACATAACAGACAAAGAAAACAGATTAATGATTGCTAGGGTTAAGGTGGGAGGAGGGAGAAAGAGATGGGTGTGGATATTAGAAGGGCCTTTTGTCCATGTACCCTGACTGCAGTGGTGGTCTCACACAAATCCACACGTGTGGTCAAACTGCAAAGAAACAGACACACACAATTGAGGGTATGTAAAACTGGAGAAATCTGAATAGGATAGGCAGTCTGTACCAAAGTCAATATCCTAGTTGTGATAACTGCGTTACAGTTTTACAAGTGGCTACCACTAGTGGAAACTGGGTGAAAAGTATAAGGAATCTTTGTACTATTTCTTACAAATGCATGTGAATTCACAATTATCTGAAAATAAAAAGTTTGGTGGTTTTTTTTTTTTTTTTTTTACTTTAAGAATTCTTCCACTTAATGAAAGACATACTCCAATTAATCCATCAACCCTTAAAAGTCACTACAAAGAACACACAAAAAAATCAGCTGGGCTCTCAACCACTTTTGCATCTGAGGGACTTTAGTTTGATTCAATGAAAACACAAGAGTGCTTTGAGAATCTTAGCCTCTACCGCCAGGCTACACAGAACCCTCTGACCATCACAGCTGGTCAGAAAGGAAAGAGGGAACCATGCCACTGGCTATCATCAAATGGGCAGGAATCTCATCTATCACTTGGTTTCAATTATTCTAAAATTATGCTGAAAAATATGACATGTATACTCATCCCTCATTATCTGCAGCAGATTGGTTCCAGAACCTCCCCCATACCAAAATCCAAGGATGCTCAAGTCCCTGATATAAAATAGCGTAGTATTTGTATACAACCTACACACATCCTCCCATACACTTTAAATCATCTCTAGATTACTCATAATACCTAATATAAATGCTACGTAAATAGCTGTTATACTATATTGTTTTTTATTTGTACTATTTTTGTTGTGTTATTTTTTATTAGGTCTTTTTTTAAGAGTATTTTCAATCTGCAATTGGTTAAAGCCATGGATGAAGAACCCGCAGATACAGAGGGCAGACTGTAATGTGATTTCAACATAAAAAAACAAGGAAACGGGCAACAAGGAGCACACCTGTCTCCAGGGAACAAGATGATCAGGGTTCTTTCTGCTTCTTTCTGCCTCCTGTATTTTCTACGTGCTCTCCAGGGAGTCAAAGTCACTATTACAGTCAAATAAAGCCAACTCTCTTAACTACCTAAAATGAGTCCCATCTGGCATTCTAGTAGTTTAGTCTTCTAAGGACAAAAGTTTGGTAGATAGCTACATTTAGGAAAAAATACAATTTTACACAATCCTTAAACATTCTAGTGGCTGTTATACCTCAGAGGAAGTCTGATGTATTAACAGACATCAACAAATTAAAACTCATATGCCCAAAAGCATCTCTTATAATAAAAGAATAAGAAAATCACATTAGTAAGAAAAAAAATGAAGTACCTAAATGAGTTAGCACTAAACATTACAATCTGACTATTCCCTATCCAGTAGCAAAACAAAACAAAACAGAAAGAATACAACATTCAGAACTCATTTTCAGAACTGGACTTGATCTGATCTAAACCTCTGGCTGGCTTCTACAGTTACTGACAGAAAAAGGTCTTTAAAATAATAACAGATTATACAGCCATGGCCTGTTACTATATGAGCAAATTAGCAAATCCATTCTCCAGATTATACAAAACATACAAAAAAAGAAAGTAAAGAATAAAATTTCACAAGGTGAAGAAAGAGACTGCATTGAAAACTTTAATTAAACTTTCCTAAACAAAACAGCCTGAATTTTATATTTAACTGACATCAGGATTCTTTCTTCATTTTATCATTACCTTTTTTTGTCCACAGGAGGCAGAGAAATGCTGCTGCTTTTCCACTTAACTTTGACATTCTCCTGAAAAACAGTTCTATTCAAGGCAATGAAGTAGCGTTCCAAGACGACCAGCCTCTGCTTGAGTCTCAGGGCCGAGAGGGTGGTGGTGGCTGACTGGATGGCCAGAGCTTGCTGCTCTTTAACCAGCACAGAAAGACATTCCTTCAGCTCATTCACATCTAGAAAACAAGACAAGAAAACATCTCACCTGTCAGTATCTTGGCCACGGTTTGTTGTAATGTTGAGAAAATGGATGATGATAATAGGGAATACCTGAGTGCATGAGATGTGCCAAAAATGGTCTTGAACACATTACACGAATTAGGAAATCTTCACACCCACCAGAGCTAGTGCTGTCCAGCCATTTTATGGATGAGCAAACTGAGGCACAGAGTGGTTAAGTAACTGGCCCGAGGTCACACATGCGAGTACAGCACGTGACACAGACCACTCTTAGCCACCGTGGTATACTGCCTCTCTGTAAACATCATATAAAAGTTGTTAAGACAAAACTATAAAGTCAATACTTACCAGAGGCACATTTCCTAGACAGAAAAACTCTAGCCATTATTTTCATGTTATAAAACCAAATCCAAAATAAAATCAATGTTTCAATAAAATCACCGAGCATGCATGACTCATGAAAGGTAATACATTTATGGGAATATTTTAGAGAAAAATAAAGTAACTAGTTAGAATGTGTAGCGAGTAAGTGATATTTCATTATACTATTCTCTCTATTTGTATGTACTTAAAAACATCCATGTTAAAGAATATTTTTCAAGTAGCGAGAAGGCAATCACATGAATGAAAGTAATTCAAAGGATTCCAGCCTTCCAGTTATGCATAAGTCTGTCTCAAAGTACAGATGCTCATAGTTGAATTTTAAGTTACCTCCCACGAATCCTCTACACCAGGACAGCTCACAGCAGCAGGGCGAGAGCAGCGCTCGCCTATGCTCGTCGTCTGTTGTTGCTCCATGAATTAGTGTTAAACGTGTTTTGGGACAGGATCTGTCTTGGGAGTTTTTACAGAGCTTTGCCCTGAAGGCATAGGTGAATGTGCTGGTTTGCATTTCGAATGCTGTTACACTGGAAGGGCGTCTCTGAAAGGCAGTAGCGGCTGTATCCCACAAGGCGCCGCGTTTCTCAGACCTAAAGAATTGGATTTGCTTTGTAAAGCACAAGCGAATCTGTTAAAAACTATAGGCTGAGAGCTGACGATGGAGTGCCCTCCGGAACAAACAGCTTCCCGGAAAGGCCAGCTTCACAAAGGGCCAAAAGCAGAGCCTTTGTTTAAACTACTCTAGACTACCTGTCTCCATTCACAATAACCTAATAAACATGGAGCTTGCATATCTCTGTTTAACCCCTCTGTTTAAATGATAAACTTACCTTAGAATTTAGAAATTAACCTTTGAAAGACTTTGTAACCATTTGCCCACGTAAATAGAATTAGTTAAAGAATCTGTAGAAGCCTTCTGTAAAAGCCTTTTGAAAATCTGTTAACCTGAGAGGAACTACCTGTTGTTATGTAAATCTGTTACCCCTGACAATTGTTCACTATTTCCTATAAGTTACCATGTAAGACCTCATTCGGGGCTTTTTGAGACCAACGGAGAGGTCCGAGCCCCCTGAGCTCCCGCTTTGCCTATAATCTTTATAAACTTATAAAACTATATCTTTGTCTCAGTGTATTCTTTTATTTCTTCCATTTTCCATTTCTCTCTATTATTTTCTTATCCCTTGCAACTCTACCAAAGGGACCCGGTTTTTTGTGGGGAACACTGGCCACGTTCCCCGCAGTCTGTCTCTGGTGCTGATTAGCCATGAGGCCAACAGTCTTTGCCTCACAGCCTCAGATCCTGACAGACAACAGTAACACCCCTATCGACTTCCCTTGGATGGAGGACATCAGTTTTCTGGCTACCCACCACGTGAAAATGCTTTCCACAGTAAGAGGGATCTCAGAAGGCATTAATTAAAGGGATACATCTCACTGCTCCCTGGGGAGGCTCAGGGGTGGTGCACTGCGCCCAACACCAGCAGCAGGATGCGTACGAGGCCTGGAGCTTTGGAACAAACCCCTTGGTATCAAAAGCTCCGGTAGCCAACAGCTAACAGCTATGTAAAAGTAGATGAAGAACACTTTAAATTGCACACTGGGCTCAAGATGGAGAAGCAGAAAGATATGCAGGTGAAGCAGCACTCCTTCCCTTCTAAGGGCACCCTACTATGCTGCATTCCATGCAAGGAGCCTGGGCCAGCACTGAGAGGCACCCAATCCCTCGCAGAACAGAGACAGCCCTGTCAAGGACATGTCCCCAAGAGGAATTTCTTCCAGAAATCAAGTCTCAGAAAAGCTTTACATTTCCTGAAGAGGCACTACATTTTCCACTTTTCAAATATGTCTCCTCTCTGCTTAGCTGCAGAGCCCAGAGACAAGCCCAAAATTCAAAGAGGGCAGCTGTGCCCTTGAGTATCCACGTGCCCTTCCTGACGTCCTCTTCCTGCATATCCTGCCCCAATCTTGACTGCCCAGTGCATTAGTCATTACTGCAGGCAACCAAGGTGCTTGGACACTCTGAAGCAAGTGGATAAGTAAATAACAAACATGGAGACCACAGGGGAGTCAGCAGAACTCTGAGCCCACCCTACAGTAACAAGAGGCACCCAGGCCAATTAGAAAGCCTGGACTTGTATTCAACCTGGTGGTGACAAGGTGAGGCACACCCTATCCCTGCCAAAGTGGAGTCACAGAAAGATAGTTAAACAGAAGGTCTAAGTAAGACCCAGAGTCTCATAACATAACACAAAAATGTCCACATTTCAATAGAAAGTCACTCATCATACCAAGAAGCAGGAAAAGCCTAACTGAATTTAAAAGATAATCAACTGATGGAAATACCATGATGAAAGATGTTAAAATAATCTGACAAAGATTTTAAAGCAGCCATGATAAAAATGCTATGACGAACAATTGTGAACACACGTCAAACGAATGAAAAAACAGGAAGCCAAAGACATAAAAAGGAACCAAAAGGAAAGTTTAGAACTGAAATATATATAGCCAAAATAAAAAGCTCAGTGAATGGGCTCAATAGTAGAACTGAAGAAAAAGAACAAAGAATCGGTGAATTGGAAGATAAAAGTTACCCAATCTGAATAATACCAAGAAAATACATTAAAAAAAAAGAAGAACAGGCTCAGGGACCTGTGGGACTGTAACAAAAGATCTAACATTCCTGTCACTGAACTCACAAAGAGAGAGGAGAAAGAAGGTGGGGTTGAAAATGTGCTCTAAGAAATGATGGCTTAAGCACAGAAAGACAAATCTTGCATGTTCTCACTCACATATGGGAGCTAAATACTAAAAATAATTGATTTCATGGAGACAAGAGAGGAGAATGACAGTTACCAGAGGCTGGGAAGGGTAGCAAGGAGGGGGCATAAAGTGCGGATGATTAATGGGTGCAAAAATATAGTTAGATAGTTAGAATGAACAACATTTGATAGCACAACGAAGTGACTATAATCAACGATAAGGGTATACTTTAAAATGACTAATAGAGTAGAATTGGAATGTACCTAACACAAAGAAATGTTAAATGCCTGAGGTGATGGACACCCCAATCACCCTGATTTGATTAATTCACATTGTATACCTGTATCAAAACATCACAGGTACCCTATAAAAATATACAACCATATGTATCCATAATGATTACAAATTTTTTTGAAAAGAAGTAATGGCTTAAAACTTCCCAAATTTGGAAAGAGACCTAAATCTACAGATCCAACAAGGTAAGCAAACCCTAAACAGTATGAACCCAAAGAAATCCACACTAAGACACATATATTAATAATTAAACTACTAAAAAGAAAAGACAAAGAAAACATCTCAAAAGCAGCTAAAGAAAAACAACACCTTAACTATAGTGGAATAATAATTCAAATGACAGCAAATTTCTCAGAATCCTATACTCAGCAAAAACATCCTTCAGGAATGGAGAGAAAGTCAAAACATTCTCAGAGAAAGGAAAATTAAGAGAATCTGTTCCCACAAGACGCACACTAAGAGAAAGGCCAAAAGGAAGTTCTCTAAACAAAATGGGAACGATAAAAGAACCCTGGAACTTTGGGAAGAAAATGCATGACAAGCACATATATAAATGTGCAATAAATTTTTTTCCTCACCTCTTGATTTTTCTAAATTATGTCTGAAGGTTCAACCAAAAATTATAACACTGTCAGATAATGGTTATAAATGTTAAGCAAAGGAAATATTTAAGTCATGTATCATAAACAGGAAAACATAAAGGGATATAAAGGTAGGTAAGGTTTCTATATATCACCGAAACTGGTAAATGACACATCAGGAAAGTTGTGATAAGTTTTTGAATACATACAGGATGAGTATACCTTATCAGAAATGCTTGGGACCAGAAGTGCTTCAGGTTTCACATTTTTTTCCGAGTTAGAAATATTTGCATATACATAACAAGATATCTGGCGGATGCTACCCAAGTCTAAATACGAAAGTCACTTATGTTTCATATGTACCTTATACACATAGCCTGAGGGTAATTTTATACAATATTTTTAATAACTGTGCACGAAACAAAGTTGTAGTTAGGTACTTAATGTGTAGAATTTCTCACTTGTGGCATCATGTCGGTGTTCCAAAACTTTTGAATTTGGGGACATTTCTGATTTCTGGATTAGAGATGCTCAACCTGTAAATAATATATTATCTAAAGAAGTGACTAAAAAAGATATATAAAAAGATACACCCAAAAACAGTATAAATAAACCAAAACAGTTAAAAATGGTCAAGGAAACCACAGGCAGGCAGGACAAACCAAGCAGAGAAATGAAAAACAGAACGACACAAAACAAAATAAAATGGCAGTCTGAAGCCCTAATTTATCAATAATGACATTAAATTAAATGTAAACAGTCTAAAAAAAGACAGACATTGGGAGAGTGGACTAGAAAACTGATCCCATTATATGTTGTCAATAAAACATTAAACTTCAAATAGGCAGACTGAAAATAAAAGTATAGAAAAATAAGTATCACGCAAACATTACTTACAGGAAAGCAGAAATGGCTATATTAATATCAAACAAAGTAAACTTCAGAGCAAAGATAATTACCATGAACAGAGAGCAACATTA